TAGTCGGATTTGTTCGTGTTAGTTGATTTTCGTATATACATGTATGTCTGTGCGCATTTTGGGGGGTTCAGAGTGTGCAGCTCTGGTTGCGACGGCAGACCCTGCAAACCTCTGCACCTCAGCACCCCAGAAGGTCACAGACCAAAACCCTAAACCCAACTTCAATCTATGGGGCTTACGGGTTTCTTGATTCAGCACTTGGGGGTTTAGGGCTTAGGGCTTAGGGCTTAGGGCTTAGGGCTTAGGGCTTAGGGCTTAGGGCTTAGGGTTTAGGGTTTAGGGTTTAGGGTTTAGGGTTTAGGTTTTAACCTAGACCCCCAAGCCCTGATAATAAGGACCCCAATGAGGCACCCCTAGTTTCGGAAACCTCCACTTCGGGTTGGGGGCTGAGAGGGCCGGTCACGATGCCCCAAGAGCGTTTAGGGTTTCGGGTTTAGGGTTTAGGGTTTAGGGTTGAGGGTTTAGGGTTTAGGGTTGAGGGTTGAGGGTTTAGACAGCCCCGAAACCCCAAGCCGCCAGCTGCAAACAACAAGCAGCCCTAGGACCCAGAGTAGGCCCTTATTGCCTTTTGTTTTAGTTGTCAGGGTTTAGGGTTGAGGGTTTCGGTTTTAGGGTTTAGGGTTCAGGGTTCAGGGTTCAGGGGTGTAGGGTTAAGGGTTTAGGGTTTAGGGCTTCGGGTTTAGGGTGTATTTTGGGGCCGAACACGTCACTGTATACGAAGCTTCTGCAACCGAAGTGCCAGTCGCTGAGCCCTGGCCCCTCATCCCGTAAAAGCGGTTCAGGGTTCAGGGTTCAGGGTTTAGGGTTTAGGGTTTAGGGCTTAGGGTTTAGGGTTTAGGGTTAGCTAGAGCAACCTTGAACCTTCAAAAGGGAAGATTACCTTCTGGTAGTCATTCAGGTTTCTGAGGGTGCATCGGCTACTCCGGGTAGGGTAAGGCCCCTAACCAGCACTCTCCAACCGCCGGAATCTGGTTTAGGGTTTAGGGTTTAGGGTTTAGGGTTTAGGGTTTAGGGTTTAGGGCTAGTAAGGTTTTGAGGCTTGGGGTAACATTCTCCTAAATATATGGGACCTAGACCCTTTGAAGGACTTGGGGGGGCTCTCGCCCCAAGAGTAACCTAGGCATGCGAAAGGGTGCCCTTTTTGGTTTCAAGGGGCTTATAAGCGAACCTACACCCTAAACCCTAAACCCTAAACCCTGAACCCTAAACCCTAAACCCTCAACCCTAAACCCTAAACCCTAAGCCTGCAAGGTGATGAGCTGTCCATCCAGAACGCCATCATGGTCACACGCTCCTCGCGGTACCCCCTCATGGTCGACCCACAAGGCTGCTACCAGTAGCTGTCAGTAGGGGTTTAGGGTTTAGGGTTTAGGGCTAGGGTTTAGGGTTTATAAAGGGCTAAGGTGATAGAACCCGTTACGCTTTTGACAGTACAGGGTATGGGGCTTCGGTGTTTCGGGCTCGGGTTTGCGGCTACAGGGTTAGGGTAGAGGGTTTCGGGGGTATAGATGTTGGCTTCCTAGGATTGTAAGGCAAAGTTCGGCACCAACAATAAAGGAGTAAACGGCAACCCTAGTGAAAAGACCAACAATCTTAAAACCCCTCAAGCCTTTGAGCCGGGGGGGAGGGGAGGGGGGGGGGGCAAGGTTATAGGGTTCTTCAGGGAGGGGGTATGTAACCCAAAATTCCCCAAAATTCCCCCTAAGCTTCCCTAAGGTTCCCTAGATACCTACCCCCCATGAACCCCCCTCCCTTGTGGGGAGGAGGGTTGCACCATGCCGTGGACAAAGGCTTATCCACCCTCATCTCATAAGCTTAACACTTGGCAGCCCAGTGGTACCCTTTTCCGTTTTTTTGTTTTTTGGTTCAAGGTGTGTCGCTTATAAAGTGACCAACCCCAAAAGTGGAACCCTTGTTATGGGAACATGGACCACGACATGATCAAAGATTTGGGGTTTTGGGACTCCATGGCTCTCCTTCAAGAATCATCACGATAACGGTGCATTAAAGTGACAGTGGCCATGATCATGATTCAAGTATTTCAGCAACTACAAAGCAGCTAGCGATCTTAACGCCAAGAAGCCTTTGCGGAGAATGTAATAGAAGACAGACTGCAGCGGGTCCCTTACGATCGTAAACCCCGAATACGTTCTCTGACGCAGCAGCCCACAGTCTAGGAGGCTCAACGGTGCACTGTTTCGGGTTTAGGGTTTAGGGTTTAGGGTTGTGGGTTGTGGGTTGTGGGGGTGTTGGGGCTGATTGCCACAAGATGCCACGCATGGGCTTCAGGACAGGCCAACCGCTGGATCAAGTCCAGGGAGAAGGCGCGCATCAGCGAGAACCCGACGATGTGCACCTTGGGCCTCGGGTAGAGTTTAGGGTTTAGGGTTTAGGGTTTCGGGTTTAGGGTTTAGGGTTTCTCCGGCTTTTAAGCCCTCCTCTCCTCGACCCCCAAGCCTCAAAGACTCAGTCATTCATTCCAAGAGCTGGTCGAAATCCACCCTGAACCCCCTAAAGCCCTAACCCTAAACCCAAAACCCTAAGCCCTGAACCCTATTCACCAAGAACTAAGCCTAAGCCCAGAGCCCTAAACCTTAAACACTAAACCCCTAAACCCTAAACCCTAGCACCAAGCCCTAAGCCCTAAGCCCAAATCCCCAAGCCCTAAGCCCTAAAACCTAAGGCTTCGAGCCGAAACCCTAATGGAGGGGTCGGAATAGTCACTAATGGTATTCCCTTATGGTCCCTTGGCAATTATACTCTGGGACCTAAACCCGAAACCCTAAACCCCAAACCCTAAACCCCAAACCCCAAACCCCAAAAGGTTTCCCGAATAATCGCCCCCCAACAAGCCCTATTCGAATTATTCAGGCCCCAAAATTTTCGCGCTAAGCCCGTGAATCCGACCCAGGGATGCGCCGCCCAGACCTGGAACCGAAACCAGCACGTGGTGGTGGGTCTAGGGTTTAGGGTTTAGGGTTTAGGGTTTGGGGTTTAGGGTTTAGGGTTTAGGGGGTTTAGGGTGTTCAGGGTTTTTAGGGTTTAGGGTTCATAGGGTTTTGTACCAGTTCACGCATTCACTAGTCAAGCTCGCTACGCTGGTATCGAACATCTACCCACCCGCCCTTTGGATCCGATAACATTAGGAAAATATTTTAGTTTTTTAACTTCAAGCCAGCGCAAGCCCCTAAGACCCAATAGCCCCTAAGTCCTAAAGGCCAGGCCAGGGGGGGGCTCTGGGGGGGGGGGGGGGGGGGGGGGGGGGGGGGGTGGGGGGGGGTTGGGATCGGAAGGTCATATTTTTTACTGGGCGGGGTGGGCGCCCAGTAAAACATGACCTTCTTGGCTGGTAGGTCAGATTTTTACTTGGCGGGGTGGGCGCCCCTTCGGGGCCGGAAAGTCATATGATCTTGCCCAGTAAAAAAATTACCTTGCCCAGCAAAAGCTATGACCTTGCCCTGTAAAAATAGAACCTTGCCCAGGATAAATATGACCTTGCCCAGTAGACCTTGCCCAGTAGAAATACAACCTTCGGGGATATTTCACTGGGCACAAGGTCGTTTTTTGGAACGACCTTGCCCAGTAAACATATGATCTTGCCCAGTCAAGAAATGACCTTGCCCGGTAACTCCCCAACATTTAAATTATATATGAAAGAGAGGTTTAGGGTTTAGGGTTTGGGGTTTAGGGTTTAGGGTTTAGGGGGCTCAATGTTTAGGGTTTAGGATTTCGGGGAGCTCAGGCATCACAACACTGGCGGCGAAGAACCTCAAGGATCAGATCGAGTTCACCATGGGCTGCTTGGCATGGTCAGTTTAGGGTATAGGGTTTAGGGTTTAGGTTTAGGGTTTAGGGTTTAGGGTTTAGGGTTTAGGGTGCTATGATGCGTTGGGGCTGCAGGTTCAGAACTGAGCGGCTCGGATTTGGGGTTTGGGGTGTAGGGGTTTCGGGTTTTAGGGTTTAGGGTTGAGGGCTTGAAGAATGTGTTCTCTATATAAGCTATGGGCTCTTTTTCTGAGGGCCCTTGTACTCCTGATATCTGGCACTATAGAAACGTTCTTACGAGCCCCTTGCAAGGTCGCATAACCATTCAACCCTAAACCCTAAACCCTAAATACCCTAAACCCTAGAGGTGCTTCCGGCTGAGCAGTTTGTTTTTTTGTTTGCTAAGGCGTAGGGTGCTCCTGGATAATGGAGAATGGGGAAGTTGGGGTTTAGGGTTTAGGGTTTAGGGTTTAGGGTCCACCCTTCGGACTTTCTAAGGAGGCTACATAGTTTGGAGACCTCACAGCCTACATCCCAAGCCCAAAAGCACTTTGTGTTGCTTCAGCTCTTTGAGGACAGAGTAAGCCGAAATATGGTTACCCAAAGAATACCGAACTTGTCTCCCTGCTGGGTTCGTCGCCCGGGTAGGGCTTAGGGTTTAGGGTTTGGGGTTTAGGGTTTAGGGTCTAGGGTTATGGTTTAGGGTCCAGGGTTTAGGGTTTAGGTTTAGGGTTTAGGGTTTAGGGTTTAGGGTTTAGGGCTTAGGGCTTAGGGCTTAGGGCTTAGGGTTTAGGGTTTGAGGTTCAGGGGCTCCATGTCGTTGCTGCCCTCTGGCGTGGTTGATCGTGTGCCTGCAAAGCAAGAGACAAGCCTGGAGTCCCTAAGCCCCCAATTCCTGAAGCCCTAAACCCTAAACCCTAAACCCTAAACCCTAAACCCTAAACCCTAAACCCTAAACCCTAAACCCTAAACCCTAAATGAAGCTTCAAAAGGGTTTATGGTCCATATACCTCAATAGGGACAGTCAGCACATAGGGTATTTGACCCCAAGTATTGTTACCCGACGCCGAAACCCTTCACCCTACATACGCCCCACAGTTCCGCTCAAAGCCACAGAGCCAGACATCACCCTAACCCTAAACCCCAAACCCTAAACCCTAAACCCTGAACCCTCTCAAACATCAGGTGAAGGACTGTGCCTCATCATCGAGAACGTTGAGAACGAGGTCGACCCCATGCTCGATCCGGTCTTGGACAAGCAGATCATCAAGAAGGGCCATGCGACTGAAAGACCCTAAACCCTAGACCCTAGACCCTAAGTCCTAAAAACCCTAAACCCTAGACCCTAGACCCTAGACCCTAAGTCCCAAAAAACCCGAAACCCCAAACCCCAAACCCTAAATCTTTAGAAGCCCCTGCAGAGGTTCCCCCCCCCCAGTGGCGTTTAGGGTTCAGGACTTGGGGGTTTCAGGCTTCTTCGGGCTTGGCAATTTCGGTCCTTCGATGTCGGCTCTTCCTATCATTGAGATGCAGCAGTCCCGAAGTGTGGGTCTCCTCACCCGTCAGGTGGGAACGTGAGGTGGGTTTAGACCGCCCTCATCAGAAGCTAGGATAGGCCGGATATACAACATGCTCCGACATTCGGAGGATCTGTTTAAGAATGGATTGAAGGGCTGTCCTGGTAAGGGAGTCGCCCCCTTGGTGTTTGGGTCTTGCTGCCTCTCCTTCTTTGGGGCTGTAGAAACTCCAAGGTCTATACTGTGTCCCCGCGTGTCGTGTGTGTGTGTGTGTGTGCGAAAAAGGACTGGGACACTGAACCCCAAACCCGGCAAAAGGGGAGGGGGGGGGGGGGGGTTCTACCGTTAGGTCTAAATTCGCGACGTTGTTCAAGGGACCTTGGGTACATGAACCTGTTGAAAGGATACCTACAAAAGAAAGCTCTAGAGGGGACCTGTGCGCCTTGAATGGACCAGGCAAGAACCTCTACATCAACGTCAGTGACCAGAACATGGACTACAAGGACCTTTCGTGGCTGAAGCCCTAGGCCCTCAGACAGCTGCGGGAGAGGAGTTCGACCGCATTCCCTCGCCCTAAGCCCTATACAGTAAACCCTGAACGCAAGCTTTCCCAAGAGGGGTCGCATGTTTGGTTCGTTCTTGGGAGAGGTTTAAGGTTCAAGAACCAGGGTTTAGGTGAGTGAAGACGCATAGGATTTAGGGTGCCGATGAAAAGCTCAAACATCACGTTTCGAGGACCAAACCGCCTAAACTCAGCAACACCGCTCCAAGGCCCTGAATTATGGACCCTGTCAAAGCAGTTCTTCAAAATCCGTGAAGCTTCTGCCACCCCTTCCTCTGACCCTAAACCCTAAACCCTGAACCCTAAACCCTAAACCCTAAACCCCCTAAACCACAGGAAAACTTCACGCTGTACTTCACCTCGCGTTTGCCGAATCCACACTTCTCGCCGGAGCTCTCCGCAAAAGCCACGGCCGGGTGCCCCAAGAGAGGGGGCAGGCCGAGGGGTGGAGGCTTGTAGGGTTTAGGGTTTAAGGTTTAGGGTTTAGGGTTTAGGTTTAGGGTTTAGGGTTTAGGGTTTAGGGTTTAGGGTTTAGGGCTCAGGGTTTAGGGTTTAGGGTTTAAGGGTTAGGGTTTAGGGCACCAAACTGGGCGAGCTCTGGTCAGGAGCATGACTACAGTCTACAAGGTCCCAGGCGTGTGTCCTGCACCTTGAAGAGTCTACTCCATGTATGAGTCAACGCATCTCGAAGCTACGCCCATCCCGCAAACCCAAAACCTTAAGCCGTCCCCAACAGAAACAGTCTAACCCTAAACCCTAAACCCTAAACCCTAAACCCCAAACCCCAAACCCTAAACCCTAAACCCGAGAATTTCGGGTGCAAAACTGCCTGATATTGCATCGGCTGCTTCAAGAGGAACTCAAGGAGGCGATCCTTGTTTAGGGTTTAGGGTTTAGGGTTTCGGGTTTAGGGTTTAGGGTTTAGGGTTTAGTTTTTAGGAGCTTAGGGGTTCCTTGGGGCTTTCTTAGGGACTACTTAGGTATGGGACTATATCAGGTAGAGGTAGGGGTTATATAAGGGAAGAAGATTAAGGGTCCCTTGTAGGGGTCCCTCCTTATACCCCTTAGAACAACCAAAGTTTAGGGTTTTTTCATGTGCAGGGCTCCATCATGTCCTGGTCATTCCACCCCAGTCCCGACTACTGAACCTTTCAAACCCCAAACCCTCAACCCTAAACCCTTAACCCCAAATCCCAAACCCCAAACCCCAAACCCCAAACCCTAAACCCCAAACCCCAAACCCCAAACCCTAAACCCCAACCCCTAAACCCTAAACCCCAGCCCCTATACAGTTGTACAATTGAGGTCATCGACTTCACGGTGACGCTGAAGGGGCTGGAGCAGCAGCTGCTGGGTAAGCTGATTGGCATGGCCACTTGGCTTGTCTTCACAATCCTAAACCCTAAACCCTAAACCCTCTGAGTGGGAATACGCTTTGAGTACTGGGAACGACCGCAACATATGGGGGTTTACGAAAATAAGGAACCCCAAAAATCGTCCCCCCCCCCCCCCCCGTAGTGGGATTCCCTTTTTTATATGGACCCTAATGAATAGGGTACCCCGAATGTCGTAAACCCCATGTAAGGATCCGGATCAGAATTTAAAGAGAGTTCCGGAAAGTTCCCTGATTCTGGGGTACTGGGCTCTTGGGGTAAGCAGTGATGCTGACGACCCTTGCCGAGCCATCTGAATCCTAAACCAGTCTGTTGTATAGTTTGTGCCGTCAGGACTTGGCGAGGAGACATTCCCCCCCCCCCCCCCACACCACCCGGCAATTCACATCCGAAACACCATCAACCCTAAACGCCTGCATCCAAATCCACAAGACCCTAAACCCCTCAAACCCTGAACCCTTAACCCTAAGCCCCTGCGCCCCTTAAACCCCTAAACCCCTAAGCCGGAGAACCCGATCACCACGCGCCCGACAAGCCAAGGAGATGAAGAGCCTGGAAGACACGCTGGCAGCGCTGGAGGAGGATGTCCCTTGAGCCTTTCTCTAGGGGTCTGTTCCCTACATCCTAAACTACTAATTGGTTAAGAACACCCCCCCCCCCCCAAAAAAAAAAAAAAAATCAAAGTCCTCCTTGTGAGGGCAATCTAGCGATTTTCATGGTTTTTTTGGGGGGGTTCTTAAGCAAATAGTAGTAACGATTATGCCGTTGTTGCGGTGTTTAGGCTTAGGGACAAAGGCCAAAGTAAATCCTACAGAGTTTTTCGGGGCTTGGTACTCTTGCAGATTTAGGGGTTTCTTGGGGGGCTTGGGGTTCCGGGTTTTAGGGTTTGGGGCTGAGGGAGTATAGGGTTCTTAAGGGAGGGGGGGATCAATGGAAGGGGCGGGGGTTCGGTACTTAGGGAACCTTAGGGACCTTGGGGAGTAGTGGGGAGTATTGGGGAACCTTGTGTTACATACCCCACTTGAACCCCCAACCGTAAACCCTAGACCCTAGACCCTAAACCCCTAACATACCCCCCCCTTGAGAACCCTATAAAGGGAGTGCGCTGCCAAGGTCACCAACAACACCAAGTCCTTGCAACTCTTGGACAAACAGCGCCACGCTCAGATCTGAGCAGGGCACGCCTAACAGAGACCCAACACCTAGTAGCCGAAACCAGGGGATCCCCTTTTTATACGAACAATCCTCAATAGGGATCATGGAGCCCCCCTATGTTCATCCTTGTTAGTCAAAGGGGACCATCCCAAGCCCTGAACCCTACATATCCAAACCCTAAACCCTAGACAGCCCTAAGCAGCCCCTAAACCCTAAACCCTAAACCCTAAACCCTAAACCCTAAACCCTAAACCCTAAACCCTAAACCCTAAACCCTAAACCCCAAGCGGCCCTAATGTCCCTACTTTCCCCCGAGGTTGCTGGAGCGCCTGTCCAACTCTCAGGGTAACTTGCTGGAAGACACGGAGCTGATCGAGGCGTTCAGGGTTTAGGGTTTGGGTTTAGGGTTTGGGGTTTGGGGTTTGGGGTTTAGGGTTTAGGGTTTGGGGTTTGGGGTTTGGGGTTTAGGGTTTAGGGTTTAGGGTTTAGGGTTTGGCGTTTAGTAGGGCGTTCTCTGCTGGGATGGGGGGGAGCATGGTGGGGGTGAGGGGGGGGGAGGGAGGGGGCTCTTATGCAGAAGCTGCAGCTGCTAAGCTCCGCTAAACCCTAAACCCTAAACCCTAAACCCTAAACCCTAAACCCTAAACCCTAAACCCTAAACCCGTGCAGGTGCTGGCCAACACGAAGGCCAAAGCCAAGGAGGTGGAAGGCAAACTGAAGGAGGCTGACGAGAGGTGGGGGGCACCCAGAGCTCCCAACCCTTTTGGGGGTTTAGGGTTTAGGGTTTAGGGTTTAGGGTTTAGGGTTTAGGGTTTAGGGTTTAGGGTTTAGGGTTTAGGGTTTAGGGTTTAGGGTACAGAGGCCCCTACACCCGAAGCGTCTAGGCCCTGTAAGCCCCTCATCCCCACTAGCCCTACACCCTAAACCTTATACCCTTAACCCCAAGGCTGACACCTTATGATCCAAAACACTTCGAGTTAAGGGCCATGATGTCCAGTGGTTCCAGGATTGAGGATTTCGGGTTTAGGGTTTAGGGTTTAGGGTTTAGGTTCCCTCCCCCCTCTTTCCTCAGTTGATTCGGGTCTAGGAGCCCTAGTTTCACACCGAAGAGTACAGCAACAAACGCTGGGTACAAATTCTTCTCTCTCACATTGCGGGCCCAAATCCAAAACCCTAAACCCAAAACCCTAAACCCAAAACCCTAAATCCAAAACCCTAAGCCCTAAACCCTAAACCCCAAATCCTAAAACCCTAAACCCCAAAACCCTTTCCGCAGCTCTTGGACCGCTCTCGGACCCTTCGCTTCTCCAGGAAGATCGAAATCAACGAGAAGCGCGAGCAGTTCCGACCCGTCGCTACGCGAGGCGCGGGCCGCTTCTGTACCACCGCCAGGGTTGAGGATTTCAGGGTTCAGGGGTTTGGGGGTTGAGGGTGTAGGGTTGAGGGGTTTAGGGGTTTAGGGGCTTGGGGCTTAGGGGTTTAGGGTTTAGGGGTTTAGGGTTAAGGGACTGTGGGTTGAAGGTTTATAGTATAGATTCAGGTTGCAGGTCTTACGGTTTGAGGTTTTTGTTAGGGGTTTAAGGGGTCTAAACCCTAAACCCTTGACCCTAAACCCTAAACCCTAAACCCCTAAACCCTAAACCCTAAACGGAGGGTTAGGATCGAGGAAGCCAGAGGCTGGGAGCCGCTGGAGCCCTGCCCTGGCAGAACACTCCGAGCCCGAGCAATTGGGGCCATGTGATTCTGTGGGTTTAGGGTTTAGGGTTTAGGGTTTAGGGTTTAGGGTTTAGGGTTTAGGGTTTGGGGTCTGTAAAACTCGGGTCCCTTTTTGGGGGGTACCTCCGTGAGGGGCTTCGTACTACACATGGACCCTACTTGAGAGAGCAACCCATGTGGATGCTTCGGTTCTCTTACCCTAAACCTAAAGCCTAAAGCCTAAACCCTAAACCCTATCTAAACCCTAAACCCTAAACCCTAAACCCTAAACCCCAAACCCCAAACCCCAAACCCCAAACCCCAAACCCTAAACCCTAAACCCTAAACCCTAAACCCTAAACCCTAAACCCTAAACCCTAAACCTTAAACCTTAAACCTAAATTCAAACACTAAACCCTAAACCCAAGTGAGTTTGTTCTCGGAAATCTGTTCTTCGCTCTTTGGTGGGTTGAGGGTTTAGGGCTTGCGGGTTCGGGTCCCCGCAGCGCAGGCAGTATCATGTACTTCAACATGACCGTCCTGCACTCAGGTACTGGGACCTGAGCTTTCCCACCGCCCTCCCTGCTGAGTAGCCACTGGTTCTCAGTAGGGAATGCGGCCGCCATGAGGCCCTATAATATATATATATATATATGGTATATATATATATATATCCCCTTGAGGGAGTATATAGGGTACCTAAATCCCCCATTCCCTACTGAAAACCCGTAGGGTAGGTTGGTTTAGGAGTTAGGGTCGACAGGCTTCTGGGGGTTTGGGTTGTGCAAGCAGCGACGCCCTTACAGTACTAGCTTTAGCTCAGGAAGCAGAATCCACAACGCTTCCAACAATCTGAAGCTGCTAAACCCACACCCTAAACCCTAAACCCACACCCTAAACCCACACCCTAAACCCACAGCCTAAACCCTAAACCCTAAATCCTCAACCCTCAGAACCCTCAACCCTAAACCCTGCACCCACTTCTAAAACGCACTGAGGACATGACCAACGTGGTGAACCCCATCACGAACCAATGCTCCGGATGGATGTACAACTGCTCGCTGCTGCACCTGGGACAGTTTAGGGTTTAGGGTTCAGGGTTGGGTTTAGGGCTCAGGGTTTAGGGTTTAGGGTTTGGGGTTCAGTCGGACTTGCGTCTGTTCTCGTAGAACGGGCCTTTGCCCACAAGAATGTGAACCAGAGATGTTGTCACCTGCGCAATCTCGTGATGATATCATCAAGTGTCGAGCATCGTGTCCTTGATCTTCTGCTGCCAACTTTGGGGCGTCATGCTTGCGCTTTGGGGATTAGGGTAAGGCTACCAAAGGAGGCTAGCAGCCCTCAAACTGCTTTGCACACCTAAAGCCTGCAGGGTGTAGGGTTTATCGGGTTTGTAGGGTTTATGGTTTGCAGGTTTTGCAGGGCTTCGGTTTAGGGTTTATCGGGTTTTAGGGCTTATAGGGTTTAAGCTCTAAGCTCAAGCTCCTGTGCTGCAAGGCAGTTTCTGGAACAGTTCGAGATTTCGGCCGCTGGCCCAGGAGATGGGTTGAGGGGCTTAGGGGTTCAGGAGTCCAGGAGTCAGGGTCTAGGGGTTTACGGGTCTTAGGGGTTCAGGGCTTCGGGTTCAGGGGCTGAGGGGTTTTAGGGTATACGGGCTTAGGATTTAAGGACATCTGGGTTTAGGATTTAGGCGTGGAGGGTTTAGGTTCTACTTAGGGGGGTGTGTGAAGAAGAGAAGGGTGGCCGCTTGGCAACACGTTGGGTCAAAGGCCGAAAGGTTGAGCTCTTTAAGATTAAACTCACTGGTTCTTAGCAGGGAATGAGGGAATGAGGTGCAGTCCTCTAGATAGTCCCTCAAGGGGCATATATAGGGGGGTGTATACTTCCCTCATTCCGTACTAATGGACCATGAGTTAGGGCACAGGGTTTAGGCAAGGTTTTGGACCCAAGGGTTCAGTGATTCATTTTCGTGCGAGCTTTGTGATCTGGACAACGAGCTTGCTTAAGATTCAGGCTTTAAAGGCTTACTACAAGTCCTATACTCTACTTTCTTTAGTTAAGGCAGTTATAGCCAAAAAAGTAAGACTCATAACCCACTCTAGGTCCTTACTAAGCCTACTTAGAACTTATGGGCCTTATAATAGAGGGGTCGTAAGAATTACGGCAAGCATTCCCTTAGGGCCCTTTAGAATTATACTATAATACCCCCCCCCCCCCCCCCCCCCCCTTTCCCCCCCAAAAAAATGATAAATACTCGTCTAATTCTGAAGCCCCGTATAGTTCGGCCCTAGACCCTGGTTGCCGAGGTCCGAAACAGCGAGAAGTGCCAGCCGACCTCCAAGCGAGTGGACAAGATCATCCACTTCCTCACTTACCAGGTGGGGGGGGGGGGGGTGGGTTTAGGGTTTGGGGTTTAGGGCTTAGCGTTTAGGGTTTAGCGTTTAGGTGGAGTGTCGATCTGTTAGGGTGGGCATCGGAGCCCTTAGCCGGCCCTAGCCCCCCGAATCTTAAATCCCAACGTTGTAAACAGCCCTGCACATCGAAACCTAAACCCGCAACTAAAAAGAAGGCCCAAACAAATTGATGACCCTAAACCCCAAACCTGAAATTAGTACCATGCAGGTACTTAGGATTATTGGGGTGTTCTCTACAGACCCTAGACTCTAGACCGTTCCTCGCAGCGGGAACCCTAAACCCGAAACCCTAAACCCTAAACCCTAAACCCTAAACCCTAAATCCTAAATCCTAAACCCTAAACCCTAAACCCTGAACCCTAATCCAGGTCTACCGATACATGAACCGCGGCCTGTATGAGCGCGACAAGATGCTCTTCAAGCTCCTGGTGACGCTGAAGATCATGCTGGTGGCAAGCCAGTGCTTTGGCAAAAGAGGTTAAGGGTTTAGGGTTTAGGGTTTCGGGTTTAGGATTTAGGGCTACCCTTTTGGGGGAGTCCCCTAGAGGGATTCTATACGAATCGGGGCCTAAACAGGGTACCCCCTACTGCAGGAAATGCCCATCTGGGGTTTGGGTGCAGAGTCCCTAAGGGTCCACGTACCCGTTTGTTATGTACGTGGGTCCTAAAGCAGGAACTCCCTTAAGGCCCAAGTACATACTATTCATACTATATATGGGTACATGGACCCTTTGGGAGTTGAGGGCTGGCTTTGTTGCGTGACTAGCCACAAGTGGCAGCGGCAGCGACAGTCCCGTCCGCCAATTTCCTGCGAACTCCGAGCATACTTGAACACTTATTACCTGCCTCCAGCGACCTTCTCCTTCCTGGCAAAATGGGTTCCTCTCCCAAGCCACTGATTCGTTGGTGCACTTCGAAAAGGCGCTGTGCCCTCTCGTTTGAGGGTTTCCGAATATAAGGACGCCTAACATAGACCACCAAATAGTAAGATTCCCTTATCATAAAGACCCCAATAAGGTACCCCCGAATTTCGGAAACACCAATTTAGGGTTTCCGTTCTCTTCGCGCGCCCTGATCGCCCAGGATCACCTCTGGTGACGTGTCCATGTTGCTGAAGGCCGGGCTTTCAGTAGACTTGCACACCCAAAAGCCTCACACCCCTCTTGGGGTTACTCTTAATAAACCTCGACCCGAAGGCCCTTGTTCGGTTCCGAAACGTTAGCCGCCAGACCTAATTACATAAAAACGAAAGCCTAAAGCACAAACTCCCACGGCCTCCCACCACCTCCCCCCCCCCCCACCCCCGCCCACCACCAAAACAGGCAAACAGACAAAAGCCCAAAGTTATGGCCCTTTCTTGGCTACCCCAAATATTCGGGCCGCCTCATAATCAATACCCGAACCCTAAACCCTAAGCCCCAAGCCCTAAGCCCTAAACCCGAAACCCGAAACCCGAAACCCTAAACCCTAAACCCTAGACCCTAAACCCTAAACCCTAAACCCTAAACCCTAAACCCTAAACCCTAAACCCTAAACCCTAGCCCTAAACCCTCAACCCTTTTGACCACATTTTAGAGAAGGAGCCACAAGACACACTCCAGGCCGGCTCTTCCTTGGACAGCAAGGCCGAGCGCCCGAATCCCTTCGGCAAGTGGCTGCCAGACAAGGCAGGGTTTAGGGTTTAGGGTTTAGGGTTAGAGTTTAAGATTTAAGGTTTAGAGTTTAGGGTCATCATGCCTCCTTTTTGTTTCCTGATGATTCGTTGGTCCAGTGCTTGTGGTTTAAGGCGGGCTCCCTTGTTGTTTGCCTCATTTTGTGGGTCTTTTTTTTTTTTTTCCCCCGGCGCGGGGGGGGGGGGGGGGGGTTAAGGTGTCGGGTTTTGGGTTCAGCGATATTAGAAGTTAGAGGTTGAGGGTTGAGGGTTTAGGGTGGATGTGGGTGGGGGACCATGATCGAGAGTATACATCATATCTCATTGATGATCATGACTACTCTGACGGTGTCTCATCATGTCTTGCCCTAAACCCTAAACACTAAACCCGAAGCCCTAAACCCTAAATCCTCAAGCCTCAACCCTGCACCCTGAACCACCAAACCCCATGGAACATGGCAAGCTACGGAGCTTCAACGACCAGAAGGCTTCAAGGCTGCCTCATGCTAAAGCCCCAAACCCTCTAAACCCCCCCAAAATCCCCTAAATCCCCTAGACCCCTTCAAAAGCCCTGAATCCCTAAAGCACCTAATCTACCCCCCCAAACCCCCAAAACCCCTAAATGCCCTTAAAAAAACCCTTAATCCCCTAAACCTCCTAATTGAACGCCCTAACCGCCCAACCAGGAGCCCTGACCCTCCCCCCCCCTTCCTCTTGGCGCCGTCAGGTGTGGCTCAACGTCATCGCGCTCTCGCGCCAGCCGTTCGGCATGGACCAGCCGCTTGGCGCAGCTAAGGGTTTGGGGTTTGGGGTTTAGGGTTTAGGGTTTAGGGTTGAGGGTTGAGGGTTTAGGGTTTAGTGTGCAAGTTTTCGGGTTAGAGTTGAGGTGTAGGGTTTAAGGGGGTAGGGTCTAGGGTTTAGCGTTGTAGGGCTGTCTTCACTCCTGGCCCTTGTGGGAGTCAGGCTTGGTTCACAAGCCCTCAAGATCATCAAACCCCAAACCCCAAGTTAGGTTTTATGTTTCAGGGTTCGGGGTTGAGGGTTTCGGGGAGTTGGGGGTTGCTTCAGAAGGCTCTTCTTCTTCAGGCTTGCGAACTTTGTGAGATTCCACCTAAACACCAGAAAGGTCTTTGCGATAGTAGGGGTACCCCTAAAGCCTAAACCCTAACCCCTAAACCCGAATAAATAGCCCCAAAACACAGAAGCCCGTATTGTCGGAACCTCAAAAAGGGTTCGTTACCCCTAGTTTCAACGGTTTAGCTAGAGCTAAACCCTTCTCTATCCCCCAAAATATAGAAATCCGTGTCATAGGCACCCCCAAAACCCCTAAACCCTAAACCCTAAACCCTAAACCCGTCAAGGATTGTCTTCTTCCGGGAGATCCAGGACTTCATGCAGCGTCCCTCGGAGCCAAGTTTCCAGGTTTGGGGCTCTTAGGGTTTACATAAGGTCTACCCCTAAACCCTAAACCCTAAACCCTAAACCCTAAACCCTAAACCCGAAACCCTAAACCCTAAACCCTACACCCTAAACCCTAAACCCTAAACCCTAAACTTCAGAAATAGCCCCTAAAGCCTAAAGCCTGAGAGCCCTGGTTCGAGACTTCCGGGCCTTTGGGTTTAGTTGCAGTCTTCTGCTCCGTGTTTCGTGTTTGGCGGCTTTCAGATGACCACCGCGGGAGCCTAAATGGTTGTCAAAATAATGCTCTTATACCCCCAGTATAAGTGTAATGAGCACGACCCGAAATAATCCTTTCTACTTGACGATATACCATGCCCCTCCAGTCCCCCAAGCCAACTCTCCTACACCCTAGCCTAAGCCAGAAAGCCTCAATGAACCCAATCCGCTTGGTCTTCCCCAGACCCTAGACCCTAAGCCCTGAGCCCTCCACCCTAAACCCTAAACCCTGTATAAACGCCACTCCCCCCCCCCCCCCAGGCAACGAAGCTGCCTGGAGGAAGTGGTACGACGAGAACGAGCAACTTGGATGATCGAAGGTGCGTTATACTTCAGCAAGGCTCTTCGTACCTCTAAAGCCTCGCTCGCTTAAATGCTAAAACCCGAAGACCTTAAACCCTGCAGGCCTGTAAGCTCTGGATGTTAAAGGTTCCAGGAGCCAGAAAGACCCTTAAGGTTATTGTGTCGTGTCGTGAATTTTCAGAGCTCTTTCGGTGGTTGGGGAGGTTTAGGAAGGGTTTACAGCTTTAAGGCTTTTCGCACGTGGGGCACGAGTGCTGTAGGGTGTAGGCAGCGTAAAGAAGCTTGATTCCGCTTTTTCAACACATGTCTCTGTATGGGCCATGCTCGTGGCAGCCTTTGGCCAATCCGACATAGCATCAGAGAACACAACCCCAAACTGTTTGAATTAGTCCATCTGGGTGCATTCCCAAACCCTAAACACGAACCGAATCTCTAAATACCCTAGGCCCTACACCGTATACCCTGGCTAATCCCCAGCCGTATGGTTGCTGAGGCCGGAAGGCGTCCCGATTCCGGACTACGACGAGCGTATCAACATGGACAGGCCCCCCACACCGGTGACGGGCGAACGTGCCCATGTGTCGGGTTGGAAGCTGTATCTTTGAAGCTCTGGGTTGGGGTTTATTTAGGGTTTAGGGGCTGTAGGGTTTAGGATTTAGGGTGTAAGGTTTAGGTTTTAGGCTTAGGAGTGGTTTAGGTCTTGTATGAGCTATACGTTCAAACCCCGGACGAGTTCGATAAGTTCGCGGAGGCCTTATGAGCTTGGTGTTCGCGCTGGGCGGGAGATGAGGCAGTCAGGTTTGGCCGAGGCAGAGTTATGGGAAAGCCCTAGCTCCAAACTCTATCCCTCAACCCCCAACACCCCCAAACCCTCAACACCCAAAATCCCAAAATCCAATCCCTAATCTGCGGTTTAGGCGTCCTAAGGCTCTAAGCTTAATGGAGCCTAAACAGGACCCTGGGACCTTTCCTGCGGCTGGTCGTGGTGCGCTGTATGCGCTCCTTGCCTCTCTTGGCTTGTAGGCAAGAGGCCTATACTAGGATGCCCAGTGGTACCCTTATTCCCTTTTTGGTAGGTTTAGGTTCCCTTATAAAACCCCTGTAAGCAAAAAAGGGCACCCTTTTTCATCCTAGATTACTGGGCAACCTAGTATAGGGTTTGGTGCTTATAGAGCTTCAGGTTTCGGGCTATTACAGTTGAGGCTTTCGGGCAAAGGCTCAACAATTGCACCCCAAAACTTGTAACGTGTGGCTTGACACCGAAAATATGAGTCCTTAGAGTCTCGGTAGGATGATTGCATGTCCGTGGAGTTTGACGCAGGGCCCATTTGGGATGCTGCTCTTCCGCTCCGCAAGGGAGTCCCAGCGTTGAACCACACACCCTAAACCCTAAACCCTAAACCCTAAGCCCTAGACCCTAAACCCTAAACCGTCGAGGAGAGGATCGAACAACCATCTCCTGCAACCAGTTCATCGAGGCTTCCTGCACTTCTCTACAAAAAGGGTTTAGGGTTTAGGGTTTAGGGTTTAGGGTTTAGGGTTTAGGGTTTAGGTACGCACAAAATCAACCCCCAAATCCAGCCCAAACCGAACTCCCCTGAACTCCCTAAACTCCCTATGCTCCCTAAACCCCCTAAACTCCCTAAACTCCCCAAGCTCCCTAAACTCCCAAAACCCTATATAAACTCTAAACCCGAAACCCTATATAAACCCTAAACCCCTAGACGCAATCCCGAGCCATGCACCCTGCTAATGGCCTGCCTTCGGCAAGAGGGGTCATCCGGCCTGTAAGGTTGAGAATTTAGGGTTTAGGCTTTGGGGTTTAAGGTTCGGGGTTTAGGGTTTAGGGTTTGGGGCTTAGGTTTATTTTTGCTTCTGTTTCGGGGCTTATGGGGTTCAGAGGCTCCTAAACACTAAACCCTAAACCCTAAACCCTAAACCCTAAACCCTAAATCCTAAACCCTAAACCCTAAACCCTAAACCCTAAGCGTTTAGGGCTTTCTTGGGACAGGCCATGCTGGACTCGCGCTTCACGGCGCCCGTCACAGATGGAATTGCCGACATCTACGAGGCACATGTTGGGGCTCTCTGGGGTTTAGGGTTTAGGGTTTCGGGTTTAGGGTTTAGGGCTTTTAGGGGGTCTTACGAGGAACATGTTGGGGCTATAAAATAGTCTAGGGATTGGGGTTTGGGGTTTAAGGTGTTTTTTTTGTTTTTTTTTTTTTTTTTTTGGGGGGGGGGGGGGGGGGGTCTCGGGCTTAAGGCTTAAGGTTGGGTAGCGTGCTCATATTGGATGAACAGTTTGTTCAAGCCCTACCCTGAAACTCTCTAAACCCTCCGGTAGTGGCGCTTAGAGAAGTTCACATCTAGGATGCCCAGTAGTACCCTTGTTCCCTTTTTGGGGGGTTTAGGTTCCCTTATAAACCCCTTTTAGCAAAAAAGGGCGCCCTTTTTAAGCCTAGGTTACTGGGCAGCCTAGATATAGGGCTGCCTTGCCCGTTCGACCAGGAGTCCATGGCGCGAAAGCCGGTCCTGTACCTGCTCACGGCAGGCCCTTAGGGTTTAGGTTTAGGGTTTAGGGTTTAGGGTTTAGGGTTTAGGGTTTAGGGTTTAGGGTTCCTGGCAAGCCCGAAGCAAGACTCAGCAGGTTTAGGGCTTTAGGGCTGAGGATGGTTGGATTCTCTACACTTTGCTTTTTGTTGAGGATCCTACTGTATTGAAAAAAAAATAAATAAAAATATAAACATGTATATATACATATTGATGTATTTATTTGTTTGGTACCCCCCCCCCCATATGCCCACACTTTTTCCTCTCAGGTGCCATGGTAGGGTTTAGAGGCTTAGGATTTCGAAGCCTCCGAGGGCAGCGAGCACGAAAGCGCTCTACTGTACCAATGTTTTAGGCCCAGAAGAGCAAAAACGCTGTACTGTCCCAAAAAAACCCATCTTTTTAAGCAAAAACAAGCAAAAATGCCGTACTGTCCCAAAAAAACCCAAAAAAACAAAGTTTGGAGACCTCCAGGCCCTGGAGGAGCCCAAGGTCTCCAAACTTTGGTTTTTTTGGTTTTTTTGGGACAGTACAGCATTTTTGCACTTTTTGCCTTGAAAAGATTGGTTTTTTTGGGACAGTACAGCACTTTCGACGCCTGGGACTGCAAAAACGCTGTACTGTCCCAAAAAAACCAAACTCTCTTTAAGCAAAAACAAGCAAAAATGCCGTACTGTCCCAAAAAAAACCAAAAAAAACCAAAGTTTGGAGACCTCCAGGCCCTGGAGGAGCCCAAGGTCTCCAAACTTTGGTTTTTTTGGTTTTTTTGGGACAGTACAGCATTTTTGCACTTTTGGCCTTAAAAAGATTGGTTTTTTTGGGACAGTACAGCACTTTCGAGGCCTGGGACTGCAAAAACGGCATCTTTGCACTTTTTGCCTTAAAAAGATTGGTTTTTTTGGGACAGTATAGCACTTTCGAGGCGGACTGCAGAAACGCTGTACTGTCCCAAAAAAACCAATTTTTCTAAGCAAAAACAAGCAAAAATGCCGTACTGTCCCAAAAAAACCAAAAAAACCAAAGTTTGGAGACCTCCAGGCCCTGGAGGAGCCCAAGGTCTCCAAACTTTGGTTTTTTTTGGTTTTTTTGGGACAGTACAGCATTTTTGCACTTTTTGCCTTAAAAAGATTGGTTTTTTTTGGGACAGTACAGCACTTTCGAGGCCTGGGACTGCAAAAACACTGTACTGTCCCAAAAAAACCAATCTTTTTAAGCAAAAACAAGCAAAAATGCCGTACTGTCCCAAAAAAACCAAAAAAACCAAAGTTTGGAGACCTCCAGGCCCTGGAGGAGCCCAAGGTCTCCAAACTTTGGTTTTTTTGGTTTTTTTGGGACAGTACAGCATTTTTGCACTTTTTGCCTTAAAAAGATTGGTTTTTTTGGGACAGTACAGCACTTTCGAGGCCTGGGACTGCAAAAACGCTGTACTGTCCCAAAAAAACCAATCTTTTTAGAGCCAAAAACAAGCAAAAATGCCGTACTGTCCCAAAAAAACCAAAAAAACCAAAGTTTGGAGACCTCCAGGCCCTGGAGGAGCCCAAGGTCTCCAAACTTTGGTTTTTTTTGGGACAGTACAGCATTTTTGCACTTTTTGCCTTAAAAAGATTGGTTTTTTTGGGACAGTACAGCACTTTCGAGGCCTGGGACTGCAAAAACGCTGTACTGTCCCAAAAAAAACCAATCTTTTAAGCCGATTCATATTATTTTATACAGGAGTCCTATTGGTTCCTATTCATTCAGCAAGGTTCCTTCTCATTTTAAAAGGATTCCTATGAATTATAACCGGTTCTTTTCAATTTGGCAAGGGTTCCTATTCATTTTAATAGGCTTCCTATTAACTTTTATCGGTTCCGAAAAATATTAGCAGGATTCCTATGAAGTCAATAGAGGATTCCTATTTATTTCTATAGGATTCCAATAAAGTTTCATAGGGTTCCTATTTCTTTTAATAAGGCTCCTACTAATGTAATGAAATTCCTATCAAGTTTAATCAGATGCTTATTCATGCTAATGGGATTCGTATTTATTTAAATTTAATAGGGATCTCATTCGTTTGAAAGGGATACCGATTGGTTTAGGCTCATATTAATTTTAGTAGGACTCCTACTATTTAGGGGTTCACACTTGTTTTTTATAGGAGTCCCATTGGTTCCTATTAATTTTAGTAGGGGCCCTCTTCAGTTTATTAGGATTGCTATCAAGTATAATTGGGTTCTACCCCTTCTAGGGTTCCTATGGATTGAAATGGAGGATTCCTGTTTTTCTGCGTATAAGATTCCAATACATTTCCATAGTTTGCCGAATTATTTTAATACGGCTCCTACAAATGTAATATGGTTCCTATCAATTTTAAATGGGATTCTGTCCTTTGAATAGGGTTCCCATAGAATTTAATGGAATTAAGGGTTCTCATTCCAATTAATGGGTTTCCTTTTCATTTTTATAAGATTCCTATTGAACCAAGATGAATCCTATGAACCCAATTAAATTTGATAGGAACGCCATTCACATGCATAGGATTTCTATTTAAACTCATAGCATGCAATCCACAATCTCGAGCAAATTGTTCAGGTCACTTCTGCTGGAGTTTTATGGGAGTTCCTCCCCCCTTTAAAACCCACCGCGGGTGGCGGAACGTAGTGTTTTTGTCTGGAAACCATGCTGAAGCGTGGGCGCATGGGGGGGGGGGTAGCATTTGTTTATATATATATATATATAAGTACGCTGAAATAGAAATATAAATATAACTATAAATATAAATGAAAATGTAAATGTAAATATCAGTATAAATATAAATATAAATATAAATATAAATATAATTAAACGAATATAAATAAATAAAAACCTATATGTATATATATATATATGTTTTTTGTTGTAAATGGGCCCAGACCCCCCCCCCCCCACCGCCCTCAAAGTACCCTATTCAAGATGCACTGGGGGGTTACTTCAACCCCAAAGGCGTGGCGCTGGAAGATAGAGTTTAGGAGTTTGGGTTTTGGGATTTGGGTTTAAGGTACTGGGGGTTTAGGACGTCGTGTGTAGGGGTTCGGTTTCAGGGCTGTTCAAGGCGTGCTCCTCGCCGTGCGAGCGTCTGCTTGCAAGGTTTCTGGAGGGCCTTGCTTACCTGTGCTTAGTAATTACGGAATTCGCAGTCTAGGTCACCACCAGCATAATCCCTCGAACTCGAAGGGTGTATACAGGGGGGAAAATTACAAGCCACCTAGTTGCCTGATTCCGTACTGAGAACTAATGAGTCTTGGGCCTACGATGCTCACCGGGGTGTTTGAGTGCGAAGTCTTTCGAAGGGTCTGTATAGTTCCCTTAAGTTGTCATATCCCAGGTAGACTACACCCGAAGACCTCAACCCACAACCCCAAAAACCTTCAGCCCTGCAGGCAGTGATCCGACCTTCAGCATTGACGAGCTGGCCAAGAAGAAGAAGAAATACCCAACCGACAAGGCGCTGTTGTGGCCTTGTTTTGTAATGCAGACTTTGAAAACCTTCTGACTCGCAGCGCCCCTTCCAAAATACAAAAAAAACACAGAACCCTAAGCCCCAGATGTCTTTGATAGATATCTGGGGGCCTCCTAACCCTAAACCCTAAACCCTAAACCCTAAACCCTAAACCCTAAACCCTAAACCCCCTAAGCCCCAGAGGCCGTCAAGGCACTTCACTTCCAAGGCCCCCTCCGCTCCGCCCTAAACCCTAAACCCGAAATCCTCAACCCTAAATCCTAAACCCTAAACCCTAAACTGAAAAAAAACCTAAGCCCTAAGCCCTAAACCCTAAACCCTAAACCCTAAACCCTAAACCCTTAACCTAAATTCACAAGCCTTCCGTCGCCTCGTCAGGTGTCCATGGGTGAAGGCCAGGAGAAGGTGGCTCGCGTCCCCTGGCTAAGCTTCCTTCCTAGGACTCAGAGTAGAGGCCCTTACTTCCTTTTTGTTATTTCATTTATTATTCCCCTCTACCAAGAGAGGGTGGGGATGTTCGAAGTAAACTCATTATTTTTATTTGTTATTATGTATTCTTTTCTTTTGTTTGGGGGGGGGGGGGGGGCGGGGGCTTGGGGTTGTAAACAAAGTACCCTGCTCAGCTTCCTTCTTTAGAGTGTGGGGGGGGGGGGGGGGCGCGGGTTTCTACTATTTGCTTAAGATAAAATGTTCTGGGATTGCGATCTTTCATTTTTTTGGGGGGGGGGTTCTTAAGCAAACCGGGAGGGTTTTCACCCCAAACCCTAATCCCTAAACCCTAAACCCTAAGCCCTAAACCCTAAACCCTGACCCTAAACCCTAAACCCTAAACCCCATCAACCCTCAAGAAGCCCCCAACTCAGGAGAAGAACAACGCTGCTTTCGTCACGGGTGGCTGGGTCATCCTGCAGAACTCGCACCTGGGTATCGGCGACTCTGCGCAAGGGTTTGGGGTTTAGGGTTTAGGGTTTAGGGTATAGGATTTGGGGTTTAGGGTTTTGGGGTTTAGGGTTTAGGGGGTGGTCGGGCTGATGGTTTAAGGTTGTTGCGAGGCTTCTCTGCGCAAGGGGGGATTCAGGGCCTGGCAGTCTTTGCAGGGCTTGTAGGTTTTACAGGGTTCTTGCTTGGGAATAGATACTATGTGTTTCGGGGGAGGGTTTGGGGTTCGAAGGTTTGGGGGGGGCTTTGGGGTGTATATAGAGATTGTTGTCGATGTGTTTGCATGTAGTTACGGCTTATCCTTGGAGTTAGCTGTCACCCTGAACTACTTTCAGGTTGTTTTGTTCTGGGTTCCTATTATATAACTCCTTATACCTAAAAAGCATATACCACTTTTTCCAGGGTCTACTCCAAAGTAGGTAGGGCCCAAATCCCCCCAATCCCTGTCCGAGGCTACATGTGCGAGCTGGAGGACGTGCTGCTGAAGACTCCCGAGATCGACGAAGCATTCAGGCTCGCGGTGTGTTTCAAACGGCCATGGGTAAACCCGAAACGTGCAACCCTAACTGAACCTACGCCCGAAACCCTAGACCCAGAAAGCCTACCCTCTCCCCCCCCCCACCCCCCCGCCTCCCCTCCGTCCCTTCTTTCAGGCTGTGGATCACTTGCCTGGACCTGAGCATCGTAAAGCGTGAGTGTTTAGGGTTCAGGGTTTCCAACTCTGAGTCATTGTCGAAGATTTGCCATGAATGCGTAGGGATTAAAATGATCATTGCTTAGAACATCTCTACAACTAGGACCCAGAGCAGGCCCTTATTCCCTTTTTAGCTTTCTTACAAGCACCTTGAAACCAAAAAGGGTACCCGTTTTGATTCCTAGGCTACTCTTGGATCTGGAATCCCTATAAACCCTAAACCCACCTTAAACCCTTTTGATTCCTGTGGAGGTTCCCGAATGGTATAGGAGGTAGTCAAGACCCTCAATGTGGCATTGCGTGGGTCCAAGGGCTTCTCCACAATCTCTTGTGTTCACTTGACTCCGCTACCGACTGCGACACAAGAATCTCGTTAGCCCGCTAAACCCTAAACCCTAAACCCTAAACCCTAAACCCTAAACCCTAAACCCTAAACCCTAAACCCTAAACCCTAAACCCTAAACCCTAAACCCTAAACCCTAAACCCTAAACCCTAAACCCTAAACCTTTAGCTCCAGCAACCCTGAACCGCAACTCCCGCAGTCCATAGCTGTCATCGGGAGACTTAGGCGAGATCACGCTCCGCTTCCCGATCGGTCTGCTTCAGATCGCGATCAAGGCCGGCCTCTACCCTCTAAACCTTACCAAGGGGTTGGGGTTTAGGGTTTAGGGTTTAGGGTTTAGGGTTGAGGGTTGAGGGTTGAGGGTTGAGGGTTGAGGGTTTAGGGTTTAGGGTTTAGGGTTTAGGGTTTAGGGTTTAGGGTTTAGGGTTTAGGGTTTAGGGTTTAGGGTTTAGGGCTAGGGTTTAGGGTTTAGGGCCTCAAGGCTTAGGGTTTTAGAGCTCTAGGACGTAGTGATGCTTGGAGCCTGAGAAAACCGGAGCACATGAACCCTCATTCCTTAAAGTTCTGTACCGAGATGAACCCTGCATCTTCATTGACTTCTAAACCTTATAGTTATATACCCCAACAAGATTCAAACACCGCCAAAAACTAAATCGCTTGCCTTCGTTCCCGGGCGCGGGAGTTGCGTTTGGTTTGGGGTTCGGTTCAGGGTTCAGGGTTTAGGGTTCAGGGTTGAGGGTCAGGGTTTAGGGCTCAGGAAGCATGACGCCTCTTTACTGCTTTTTCTCTTGGGTGACGAGCCCGGGAAATATTTCTTTGTGCAATTGCGGCTCAGCAGGACAAGAACCCTAAACCTGGAGTCTTGCTTTAGCATTTAAATCATCTTGCCTCCACCTGCTTGGGGTACTACACCCCAAACCCTAAACACAAACCCTAAACCCCAAACCTCAAACCCTAAACCCGAAACCCCAAACCCCTCAATCAGCCCAGTAAGACGCGCAGGTGACGTTGGAGCCTCCGGCAGGTCTGAAAGCCGGCTTGTACCGCACCTACAGCCTCCTGGACACGAGGGGTTAGGGTTTGGGGGTTTAGGGGTTAGGGTTTAAGGGTTTAACCTGGACATTGTTCGTCACCCGAAAGCCCAATTCCTAGACCCGAAGGTTTAGGGGTTAGGGGCTTAGGGAGTTAGGGTTTAGGGTTCAGGGTTTAGGGTTTAGGGTGTGGGGCCTTCCTAAACCAACTGGACATTGATCGTTACCTAAAACTTAACCCTAAGCCCTAAGCCCTACACCCGGTGGACTTGCAAGGGATGTGAGGGCTCTGGCCAATGTATTTTCAGCAGCAGGGGCTGCTGTGACTGGATCAGCTTATGGGGGTTTAGGGTTTAGGGTTTAGGGTTTAAGGTTTAGGGTTTAGGGTTTAGGGTTTAGGGGCTTCTTGGTTTCAGGCTAGGACGTGGGAAGTGTCTGCACCTGTGCATGTTGCATTGTGTGTATATATGCATAGGTATGTAATAATGAACGAATACATGGGTACATGTCATAGCTACAAGAGTGGGACGCTTCGTCCACCAGCCTGGTGGAACGGTGTTTGCCCCGCAACAGCCCCAGACCCAAAATGGACTGAACCACATTCAATGCAAAACAATCCCTCAACATACAAACACTAATAAGCCCAAACCCTGAACAAGCCCTAAACCCAGTAGTATGGGCCCTCACCCGTGTTAATCGGGATCCGAAGTATGGGCCCTTAGTATGGTCAGTTCTCCAAATTGTGGCCCCTTTTTGGGTGCCTAAATAAAAGGGGCCGCTTTATGCTCAGGACCCCAAAAGGGACCATATACAAAAGGGACCATCTTTTTAGAACTGACCATCTATATACACATATATACTTATATATATATATATATAGAGAGAGAGAGAGTGTACTTGGTTATATAACAAGGGACCCAATTAAGGGTCCGTACTTGGCACCCTAGAAGCAAAGACCCAAGGGTAGGGTTTGAATTTAGGGTTTAGGCTTTAGGGTTTAGGGCTTTGGGCTTGGGTTTACGGTTTACGGTTTAGGTTTTAGGGTTTAGGGTTTAGGGTATAGGGTCTAGGGCAATGCTGCTCTGCAAGGCACGATGGTCTCCCAGGAGCTGCTGGACAAGCCTCCCGGCTGCCGATCTTTCAGTCCGACTTTTCCATTTCCTTGAAGCGGCCCTTATAGGGTTTAGGGTTTAGGGTTCAGGGTTCAGGGTTTAGGGTTTAGGGTTTAGGGTTTAGGGGAATCTCTAGAATCTCTAGAACCCTAAACCCTAGAACCATAGAACCCTAGAGCCCTAAACCCTGAACCCTGAACTCTAAACCCTAAGCCCTAACTCCTAGACCCTGGAGCCCGAAAAGCTAAAACCTACATCGTAGGCCATCCATGTGGTCAGTTATCAAGATGATAGTCCCTTTATGAGTACAATAAACAGTCGGGGCCGCCTTATGTGGGGATCCCAAAAGGGACCACATTTTGGAGAACTCCATGTATATATAAGGTTTGTGAAAGCCTTTCGGGCATCCTTTACGGGGCATGGTTTACTTAGGGGTTTCGGGTTTGGGGTTTGGGGTTTCGGGTTTGGGGTTTAGGGCTCAGGGTTTAGGGTTTTCGGGTTTGGGTTTGGTTTCTTAAGGCTTAAGGTTTTAAAGTTTCGGGTTCAGGGTGCCTGGGATCCACGTAGCACTTCGAGATGGCCCCAGCGTGGGGGCAGTGCTTTCTTGGCTTTCTGTTGGCTATCCCCATGCACTTGCAGACAAGTATATACTTGCACATACACATACTTCCACATACCTATCTGATTAGGGTTCCTCTACGTATATGCATAGACATCTGCTTACCCTGCTCTCACTTCTATGATCGACTTGGAAATAAGATTTTCGGGTGGAGCGAGCGCGTCGACAACCGACTTCGTCGTATATCATAAGATTCCACGAGGGAACAATGCAGGGGAGTAGACTGTTTTTAAGGTAGGTTGTGGCGGGAATCAGAACAAGCGCATTAGGGTTCACGAGTTACGCTTAACCCTTCTACGTTCCTTGCAGAGAAGCAAGAGGGAACACGGCATGCACCCAGGATTGACCTGCCGCAGTGGCGCACGCTGGTCTTCGTGCAGGCCTTCTTGCACAGCATCGTGGCCAGCACACTCTATACTGCCCTGACCGCCATCCGTAGCAGACCCCATGGGCACTAATTGTACATCGAAGTGCTGCAAAACCTTGAAGCCTTATGGACCCTTCTGGAAGGTGTGTCGGGAGCCATAAGAACTCTACCCTGCGCTCTCAGCACAAAACCACGAGTACCCTTATAAAGATGCCCTAACATACCCCAGACAAAGGTTCCAGGCGCTTGTTCTGGAGAAAAGGGGAGGGGGTTGCATATTGTGGGAATCCTTGGTAGCCCAGCGGTACCTTTTTTGCCGACTTGTTTTAGGCAAGCAACCCCCCCAAAATGGGTACCCTCTTCCTGGGCTGCCAAGAATCCTAAATCCCTAAACCCTAACCCTAAACCCTAACCCCTAAACCCTAAACCCTAAACCCTAAACCCTTTGACCGTAACGCTGAGGTATTGTCCAGGAGAGGCGCAAGTTCGGCAAGGGGCCCAGACTGCGCTGGGTTAGCTTCTGCCAGTGTCGTTCATCGGGCATGAGAGAGCTCAAGCCCGCAAGAACCCTAAACCCTAAACCCTAAACCCTAAACCCTAAACCCTAAACCCTAAACCCTAAACCCTTCAGCCCAAGGCTCCAGAGGGTTGTGGGTTTTCGGGTCTAGGGGTAGAGGGCCTTAGGATGTTTAACAAGGTTTGGGATCCCAAAACATGGAACCAGGTACCCGAAACCCTAAACCAGGAAAAAAGTGTTTAGGGTAAAGGGTTTAGCAAGTTTAGGGTCCCGGAACATGCAGCCCTAAACCCTAATCCCTAAACCCTAAACCCTAAACCCTAAACCCTAAACCCTAAACACTAAACCCCGCCATATGCAGCAAGAGCTGTGTGTCTCCAGGCCCCATCGGCTGGTGCATTCCGTACGAGTACAACAACTCGGACCTGGATGCCTGCCCCTGGCCGGCATTTGGGGTTTGGGGCTTGGGGTTTAGGGTTTAGAGTTTAGGGTTTAGGGTTCAGGGTTTGTTTGGGGTTTGGGGTTTGGGGCTTGGGGTTTAGGGTTTGTTTGGGGTTTAGGGGTTTAGGGGTTTAGGGGTTTCGGGGTTTCGGGGTTTCAGGGGTTTAGGGGTTTCAGGCTTAGGGTTAGGGTTTGGGCTTCGTCCCGTTGAGCCGCCTGAACAGCCCTGTTATTTGCCCAAGAGTGGCAGTTTGCCACCTTGCTTTCACACGGTCGGAGCAGACATGTGACCCAAGAGACTCTGAGATCCTCAGTCCCTCGACCCTAAACCCCCACCCACCCACACACACACAAAACCCTAAACCCTAAACCCTAAACCCTAAACCCTAAACCCTAAACCCTAAACCCTAAACCCTAAACCCTAAACCCTAAACCCTAAACCCTAAACACACAGAGACACACACACACACACACACACAGAGGCCTTCTCTTCCTGGAGAAGCATGTGTCCACCACCATCATGGCCGGCTCGCCGATTTCCTGGGTGCCTGGCCTTGGGAGGTTAAGGGACCCTAAGGATTCGGAGGGTATTGGGGTAGGAGGCTTTAGGGATCTTAGGGGTGGTATCCGTGCGCCCTTTTTGTTGCCTGTCAGGTTCCCTAGAGTACTAGCCAAGGCGAAGCAAAAGTGAGCATTGGTTGGCAAGGTTGCGGGGGCTGCCATTGAGTTTAAAACCTTGGGTGTTTAGGGCTTCGGGCTCAGGGGTCTTAAAGTCCCAGGTTCAGGGCTGTAGCGTTGAAGGATATTAGGGTTTTGGGGATTGGAGGGCTTTAAGGATTTCAGTATCTATAAGGGTTGCATATCCCTGGCTGGTGGTGGTTCAAGCTGTTCCAGCACCCTAAACCCCAAACCCCAAACCCTAAACCCTAAACCCTAAACCCTGGTTCATGTCGATTTCTGGGAAGCTGTGCCCTTAGCAGCTGAAAATGAGTACACTTTACGCTTTTTTGGGATACGAGAATCCCCCGTAGAACTGAAAGTGTACCCTTTTTGGGGGCTTATGAACTCAGCAACTAAGCAACTACGTGCTCCAAGGTGACCGTGCAGTACATGGTGGCCGAAGCACAGTACGGCGGCCGAATCACAGACGACTTGGCTGCTAGGCTTGCACCTTTTGCAGGCTCCTTAAGGGAGGGGGGATTCATGGAGGGTTTAGGTTTCGGGTTTATGGTTTAGGGTTTAGGGTTTAGGGTTTAGGCCAAGAGGGGCGAGTACCGTACTTCCCCAAACTCCAGCATCATGAGCGTTTTCAGCGAGTCATCAAGCGTCTTCTCAGTAACCTTTGCAGGGAGATGTTTAGGCTCTTTAGGCTCTTTAGGGGGGCGACTCGCAAGTATGGATGGTATCACGCCGAGCTAGCCGACTGACTGTGGAGTAGGATTAGACGAAGACCCTGAGCTGGTAAGTGAACCGGGCGTCAACCCTACGAGCGCAGTAGCTTGTGCCATGTTCTTGCCGGTTCACCTGCAGAGCCATGCTCGTTAAGCCTATCCTCTCAACCCTCGCTCGCCTGCTCCACTCAGGATCGCGAGCTGTTCAACACCTATGCCGCCAAGTGGTTCTGCCTTTTGGCTCTTCCTAACTTTTCTCGAGAACCTAAACTGGGGTGATTCGGAAAATGTTCAAAGCTCTACGGGCCCCAGGCCGTAGACTCCCTCTGTATAACCCGATCTTACCTTGCATAGTGCGTGGAAACTTAGTTCTCCACGGCCCGAGCACACTCGCAGTAAGCTGTGAGTCATTCATTCGTCTGAAGTCTGAAGCAGGCCGCGCTTTTCGGCGGGTTTAGGGTTTAGGGCGATCCGGCACATGCAAAGTTCCAAGCTCTCAACGTAACCCGCCTTTCCACAAGGGAGGCTGCGTAACTCCTTCAACATGCAAATGCCTCACTCCTTTTTGCTTAAGAACCCCAAAACAAGGAAAAAGCAAGAATCCCCCTATTACCCTTGTAATAGGGACGCATATTTTTGTGGCTGTTCTTAAGCAAACAGTAGCTCAAGTTGACGTCCAGGCCCTCGCCAGCCTGTAGAGAGAGAATCGGATGGTTACCCAAAGTGGCACTGGCTTCTCCAGCAGTCAGTCTACTGGCGCCCCAAGCCTTAAACCGAATATCCTCACACTACATCCCAAAGCCGCCCTAAACCTTACTGTTTGTTCGTTTTTTGGAGTAAAATGTCGTCAAATGAAGGGAAAGGACGAAACCCTAAATCCTAAACTCTAAACCCTGAACCCCGAAACCCTGAACCGTAAACCCTAAACCCTGAACCCTGAAACCCTAAGCTCCTCAACCCCCCCAAGCCCCAAAACAGCGTTAGCAGCCCGAGGTGACGACATCTGGAAATCGTCCTAAACCCTAAGCCCTAAAATCCAAACCCTAAACCCTAAACCCTAAACCCCTAGAACGCCCTAAGCCCTTCGAGGTGACGACATCTGGAAGCCGTCCTTCACATTCAACAACTACCCGCGTGGGCCTCAGCGCTTCGATCCGTGCATCCCTCCATGGAGGGTCTCATAGGGTTTAGGGTTTAGGGTTTAGGGTTTAGGGTTTATACATAGGGTTTATACATAGGGTTTGGGGTTTAGGGTTCAGGGCTTAGGGTTTAGGGTGCATTTCTCTGTTTCAGAGCATGAGGGAATTAGGTTCCCTCATCCCCTCATGGGACTTACTTTTCTTTGGAGGTGGCGGGGTCGGTTGCCCGCAGCCTGGGTTTAGGGTTTAGGGTGTAGGGTTTAGGGTTTGGGGTTTAGGGTTTAGGGTAGTCGGATTCTCCACACCGTCGAGAGAGATGCAGTTTTTCCGATCGTTTCCGGGAGTGTGTCATACCATTCCGATCCATATGAGTTTTTTTTCCCCGAATTAGGGGCAACCCTCGATACACCACAACTCCTACCATAGGAACCCAAAAGCGGATACCCCCAAACTTGACACCCTAAACCCTCAAAAGGGCCTAAACCCTAAACCCTAAACCCTAAATCCCCAAGGCCCTAAACCTGACACAGAACATCCTGAATCTGAGACCCAAAGCTCCAAGCACCTGAGCCGTGAATACGTAAACCTAAACTTACAGTAATTGTTCTTGGAAGCCTTATTTAATGAATGCTTGGGGTACAGCCCTAAAGCCCTAAACCCTAAGCCACCCGAAAGCGACCAAAAACCCCAAAAACCCTAGGCCCTGAACCCCAAAAAATCTTTGCGCACCACTGAAAGGTCGGATTGCAACCGCCAAAAAGCCCTAAGACCTAAGCCCTAAACCCTATCCCTAAACCCTAAACCCCAGTCCCTAAACCCTAAACCCTAAACTTTAAACCCTAAACTTTAAACCCTAAACCCTAAGCCCTAAACCCTAAGCCCTAAGCCCTAAACCCTAAACCCTAAACCCTAAACTGTAAACCCTAAACCCTAAACCCTAAACCCTAAACCCTAAACCCTAAACCCTAAACCCTAAACCCTAAACCCTAAACCCTAAACCCTAAACTAAACCCCAAGCCCCTTTTTTAAAGGTCGGACTACAACTACAAGATCCCCGAGGGCCTGGACATCTCCCAGTTCAAGGCAAGTCGCGGTTTTAGGGCTTCATGGCTTTAGCGTTTCAGGGTTTCAGAGCTTCAGGGTCTTGGGGTCTTAGGGTTTTCGGTTTTAAGGGTTTTAGGATCTTGGGGTTTCAGGGGTTTTAGGGTTTTAGGCTCTTCGGGTTTAAGGGGGTTTAGAGTCTTAGGGTTTTCGGGTTTTGGGGGGTTTTAGGGCTTTGGGGTGTTGGCGTTTTAGGTTGTTTTAAGGTTTTAGGGTCTCAGGTTTTTACCAGTTCGGGTTGTAAAGGGCTTTAAGGGTTTAGGGCTTTGGGTTTAGAGTTTTGCTGTTTAAGGAAGGGTGACAAGGGTTTGTCAGGGCGGTGAGGTTGTAGTGTTTTGGTGCAATTTCAGGTGGGCAGATGAATCCCTCCTGAAATTGACTTTCACTTTTGTGTACGATGACACCAGAACACCACAATCCACAGCCAACGACCTTGGTGTTTGCTAAACTGCAGAATTTTGGTATACAAGTCTCCTAGGCCTTTCGTGGGGAAAAAGGGAGTTTGCTGCGTGTACAGTGCCGTACCGTACGATTTTGTCCGGGACTGTCACATGGCCTGCGAAGACGGATTTAGGGGATTTCATCAGCTTGTACGCTACAGGCTAGAGGGTTCATTCAAGATTAAATGGAGAGCTGATACTGGTTTTTGGAGTACTACTTAATACTTTTTAAGTTCTGGGTTCCATTTCTAGCTACTTCTACCTAAAACGTTTAATACTTTATTCCAGGGTCTACTCCTCCCCGGACAGGAAGCGATCGACACGATCCCAGCCGTCGACTCGCCTCTGATCTTTGGTCCTGCCGGCCAACTGTTGTCGAAGCGCTTTCTAGCTCAGAAATGATTTGAAGAGAGATTTGCTTGAAATCTTTCATTTGGACAAGAGTGTAAGGGAACCAGCAACCTGAGTACAGGTCAGGAGTCTGGTCTGGGTTGAAAACGCTTAGTAAGGAGTGAAGGAAAAGAGCCAAGCCCGAAAGCCCTAAACCCGAAACCCGTTTCGATCTGCGAGGCAACGCCAGCTAATTTCAGGCTTAGGGCCCTCCCCAGGTGACAGCTGTGCTTGCCAGGCCTGCACACGAATGCGGACCTGACGTACCGCATGAAAGAGGCTGCAGAGTCCCCTGCCTGGCAACAAGTCGAGGGCTTCGGGTGCAGGGTTTATCCAATTTATAACTAGGTTTACTCATCCGAATTGCCAATCCCGAGGATGATCACCACCATCATTGAGACGCAGCCGAAGGACAGTGGTGCCTCAGGAGGCCAGAGCAGGTTTTGGACCTAGGGTTAGGTTTAGGGTTTAGGGTTTTGGATATAGGGTTTAGTTTCCAGGCGTTTGAGGGTTAGGTTTGGAGGGCGAGGGCGAGGGGGGGGGGGGGGGGGGCTGCCTTGAATTCAAATTCCTCCAAAGCCTACATCCTTTGGGCTCGTACTATGACCCCTGAAAAAGGGTTGGTCTTTTGGGGTTTAGGGTTTGGGTTTAGGGCTTGGGTGTATAGGCCGTAGGGCCCTTGTAAAATCCGAAAGCTTGGGATTTAGCTCTCCAAGGAAACTGGACAAGTGAATTTGACGCAAGCTGCTAGCAAGAGCAACAAAGAAACCTGACCCGCCATCCGCCGCAGGCAAGTCAACCGATGAGATCGTCAAGGACTTGTGCGCCTGGACTTAACGTATGGCCGGTATTCCTTGGGTTAAGAGGGTCGAGGGGTTTAAGCTAGACCCTAGACCCTAAACCCTCTTCAAACCCAGAAGCGGCTACAGCATGGTTGCTTGTCGACAGACAGCAGTAAGCGCAACAAAAACCGAAGGTCCTGTTTAGGGAGGGTCCTGTTGCTATATAGGGCCTTTGTTTTGTGTTGTCCTGGGGTGTTTCTGTTCGACAATTCGGTAGCTGCCAGGAGACGCGTGGCTTGCAACAAGCTCCACTGGGGTTCCTGGTTCGTCTTCAGTGTTTCTTCATTGGCAGCGTATGGGTGTGTTAGTGGGGAATGCTGTATACAGATGTTATGTATGTGGTCCTTCCTCCAAATTAAAGCCGCTTTTAAGGCGGGCCCAAATATTTAGGCAAATTACTCAAAAAGGGACCACAATTTTGAGAACTGACCATATGCAATACGCGTGACCGAGGCCTTGACCTCCTCACGAAGATGCCCCTTGGCCGCGGGTTAGGGTTTAGGGTTTAGGGTTTAGGGTTGAGGGTTGAGGGTTGAGGGTTTGGGATTTTAGGGTTTAGGGTTCAGGGTTTAGGGTTTGGGGTTAAGAGTTTAGGGTTTCGGGTTTGGGGGTTTAGGGCTCAGAGCCTGGGGTCTAGGACGTGGGGTTTAGGGTTCAGGGTTGGGATGTTCCCCTCTTTTGTCTAGCAGTACGTAGTAGGGATTATAGTACCCCCTATTATATTCACTATTAAGGACTGTTAGTATAGGGGGGAACACCCCAAGTTCAGGGTTTTGTTTGCCATGTCTCAGTTCGCGTATCTGACAGTGCTCAGGCACGGCCGTCCCACAGGCAAAAAGACACGGTTTGAGGTTGTTGCCGAGTGGATTCCAAGGTCCAAACCAAACCACCGAGTCCCCTCCCCTCCCTCCCCCCTCAAAAAGATGAAAGAAAGAGATGAGAGAAAAAAAACGAAACGCCTCAACCAACAAAGTCCTAAACCCCTACATGAACCCTGAACCCGGGAGTTGCCAACACAAAAAGCTCAACCAACTCAGTCCTGAAGCCCCGATTTGAACCCTAAACCAGGGAGTTGCATGCTCGGTCTTGTGGTTCGCATTGAGTTCGCATAGGGGTTGAGGGGCTGAAGTCGTTGCCGGTGTTCAGCAAGGGCCTTTTTTGTCGGGTTTAGGGATAAGGGTTTAGGGTTTAGCCCTAGCTGCGCTGCGTGACTGCTCAGATGCTGGGCCTCGATGTTACAAAAAGAACCAGAAACCGACCACTTGAAACTCCACACTTTCGCGGGGATGTCGTGCCATCCTTGGTTTGCCTAACGCCTAAATCCGAAGGTTTAAGGCTCCCTAAGTCTGAGTCTTAAACAGCAAGTTGTAGATTCCTAAACCCTAAACCCTAATTAAACCCTAAACCCTATCAACCCTATCAACCCTATCAACCCTATCAACCCTATCAACCCTATCAACCCTATCAACCCTATCAACCCTATCAACCCTATCAACCCTATCAACCCTATCAACCCTATCAACCCTATCAACCCTATCAACCCTATCAACCCTACCAACCCTACCAACCCTATCAACCCTATCAACCCTATCAACCCTATCAACCCTATCAACCCTATCAACCCTATCAACCCTATCAACCCTATCAACCCTATCAACCCTATCAACCCTACCAACCCTACCAACCCTATCAACCCTATCAACCCTATCAACCCTATCAACCCTATCAACCCTATCAACCCTATCAACCCTATCAACCCTATCAACCCTATCAACCCTATCAACCCTATCAACCCTATCAACCCTATCAACCCTATCAACCCTATCAACCCTTCAACCTCACCAGCTCAGGCCGCCGGACTTCGTGGAGGAGATCTTCCGCGTGCAGATTCAGAAGCTGAAGGGCCCCCCGGCCACGCCGGACAAGGCCCGAGACGCAGGGTTTAGGGGTTTATAGGTTTATGGGGTTTAGGGTTTATGGTGGTTTAGGGTTTCCAGGATTTCGGATTCAAAGATGCATGATTCATAGGTAGCTGGATTATGTAGGCTATATTGCCCCAGGCCTAAATCCTACACCCTCAACCCAAAGCCTTATAAACCCTAAACCCTAAACCCTAAACCCTAAACCCTAAACCCTAAACCCTAAACCCTAGGAGCATCGAGCGCAGTTGTTGGGCAGCTAGGGCTTGGCCTCGGCCTAGGGTTGATGCTTCAAGGGATGAGGGTTTAGGAGGGTTTAGGGTTTAGGGTTTAGGGTTTAGGGTTCAGGATTTCTGGTTCTTTGTCTGAGATGCGGAATACGATTGCTCCCCCGTCTACCCTAAACCCTAGACCCTAAACACCAAACCTTGTGCAAGAAAAGAAGGCCGCCGCTCTTTCCGAAGGTCCTGCGTGCAAAAACGCGCCAGATCGCCACCGGACCCTTGAGTTGCTTTGACTCCAATAAACCTTAAGCCCCAAACCCTAACACTGAAACGCAAACCTCAAGCCCAAAAACCCCTAAAACCTAAACCCCAAACACCGAACCCTAAACCCCTACCTAAACCCCCCAAACCCTAAACCCTAAACCCCAAACCCTAAACCGGAGGCCCTAAACCCCAAACCCTAAACCCCTAAGCCCTAAACCCTAAACCCTTAAACCCCAAACGCTAAACCCTAAACCCTAAGCCCGAAACCCTAAACCCTAAACCCTAAACCCTAAACCCTAAACCCTAAACCCTAAACCCTAAACCCTGAACCCCAAACCCTAAACCCTAAACCCCAAACCCCAAACCCTAAACCCTAAACCCTAAGCCCTAAACCCTAAACCCTAAACCCTAAGCCCCTAAGCACTCAATCATAGTCCATGAACCCTCTTAGCTCGCGCATTGCAGGGCTTCGCAGCTCCGCTGAACATCTTCCTGTTCCAGGCGCCCTTGTGCTTGGGGTTTAGGGTTTAGGGTTTAGGATTTAGGGTTTAGGGTTTAGGGTTTAGGATTCAGGGTTTAGGGTTTAGGGTTAAGGGTTTAGGGTTTAGGGTTTAGGGTTTAGGGTTTAGGGTTTAGGGCTTAGGGCTTAGGGCTTAGGGCTTAGGGTTTAGGGTTTAGGGTTTAGGGTTTAGGGTTTAGGGTTTAGGGCTTGGGGTTCAGCATCTCACTTTCTAGCTTTCGCTAGTCAAGTAGCTTTTCAAGCCGCGGGAACATGCCCAACCGCCCAAAGAATCCCATGACACTACGAAAACTCCGTGTTTTAATCTATCCATTCCCAGTAGGCCCCACTCTAAAGCCCAAAGCCCATTCCCTTCACCCAAGGCCCACAGTAGACCCTGAAGCCCTAAGTCATGCCTAAAACTGCTAGGGCCCAAACTCTTGCCCCAAACCCTAAGGGCCATGCCTCTGCCCAATAAGGAGGCGTGCCTATGCCGACATAGGGTACTAGGATCAGGGATTTCTAGGGCTTCCTCCTGGCATCCCTCAAGCCCATCTGCAAAGAGTAGGGGTGGAATCACCGTAGCCCCCGAGCATATAAGCCCTAAAGACCTTAAACATTCCTCAGCCTCCTGAAAAGTCTTCAGGTTACAAGCATCTCTAAACCCTAACAATCTTCAAAGCAAATGAATACTTCCCCAAATGGGGGTACCCCCTTTCGACCCCAAATAGAATCGAATCCCCTTAAGAGTAGGGGTGGAATCACCGTAGCCCCCGAGCATATAAGCCCTAAAGACCTTAAACATTCCTCAGCCTCCTGAAAAGTCTTCAGGTTACAAGCATCTCTAAACCCTAACAACCTTCAAAGCAAATGAATACTTCCCCAAATGGGGGTACCCCCTTTCGACCCCAAATAGAATCGAATCCCCTTAAAAGGCCCCCCCCCCCCCCCCCCCCCCCCCCCCCAAATCAGGGTACCCCTAAACCCTAAACCCTAAACCCTAAACTCTAAACCCTAAACCCTAAACCCATCTCTACAAAGCAGTCGGGCAGGAGCTGCAGCGGCTTCAGAACATCATCGCCATTGTCCGCACCAACCTCAGGCCACTCTGCTCACTAGGTTTCAGGGTTTAGGGTTCAGGGTTTGGGGTTGAGGGGTGGGGGTTTAGGGTTTAGGGTGCAGGGTTTAGGGTTCAGCCACTCTGCATACCAGTTCATACAACCCCTCTTGGGCGGGAGTCCGATCATCTCGAGGGGTTCAGAGTCGAGGATTTAGGCTGCTTAGTTGGGGAAGTCGGGAATGAGGGACCATATGTCCCCAAGCTGGACCCCTTCTTTCCCCAGGTTTTCATGCGGAATCCCGGTCTACTAAAGGCTATACAAAGGCTATTTATGCACTGAACCGAGGAGTGTGGCTGCGGCCATCGATGGCACGGTGGTCATGACGACCGAGCTCATGGCTTCTCAACTCAAGTGTTGCTGGTTTCTGCTGCTGGTTGGGCATTGCACTGTTCGGGTCTAGTCTAGGGGTCAGGTGGGGTCGAGATTTATGCATGCTTTATAGTTGTGGTGTTCATCTTTAGTTCCAGAGGTTCAGAGGCTATGACTGCAGGGTTTGCTTCAGCCCTACCACAAGCTAAGCCATGCTTGAAGGTTTCATAGTCAGGAGCGCCCAAACATTGGCCACAGCGGCCACAGCCAGTTTTATCTTAAATCCCTGCTTACGTGGAAGTTTCCCAAAAAGGGTGTTTTTATTCTTGATTACCCCAAAATGCTTTCTGAACCTTATCGTAGGAAGCTCCAAAAAAATGGGTAGCCTAACTTTGGGAAGCCCGTCCATGTACGGGGATCCGTTCAGCCAGGAAGATCTCGGCTACCTCTTCGACGCGCGCGTGCCACGAGGCCGTCACCCCTCCCTGCCCAAGTTTGCCCTTTTCGGGATTAGGGTTTTAGGATTTAGGGTTTAGGGGTTAGGGTTTGGGGGCTTAGGGGCTTATATAGGGTTTATAGACCCTGCCTAAGACCCCAAAACCCTAAACCTCAAACCTTCAACCCCAAGCCCTTGCCCTAGTAGGCGCTAGGGGTTTAGGGTTTTAGGGTAAGGCCCCGTGACCCTGGCACCGTAAACGTGCGACGCTCGACCACAAACCCTTTCGGCTTGCAGAAGCTTAGAGGGGTCGGCACTGAGCCTGGATCTTCCCCATTCCATTGCTTTTAATGGCTGTTAAACCCTAAGCCCAAAAAGCTAAACCCAAAAGCCTTGAAGTCCTATTTGCACTCTAGGCCCTGAAGCCTACACCTCAAACCCCAAACCCGAAACCCCCAGCCCCCAAACCCCCCAAAAACTCCGCAAGGTTGGACCAACGACCCTTCGGGGGCCGAGATCTCTTGGCTGATGCCCAACCTGGGAGGCGCGATTCTGCTTTCTTTTGCGCTGTTTAATTAGGGTTTGTGGTTTAGGGTTCTTATGGACTAAACCCGAAAAACCGTAAACCCAAAACCCCTAAGCCCCTAAGCCCCTAAACCCCTAAACCTCTAAACCCCTAATCCCTAAACCCACAACCCGACAGGAAGCAGCAAATGAAACCGGAGAGTTTAGGGTTGAGGATTTTAGTGTGGGAAAAGGTTGACAAATCTCCCAGGCTCCAAGCCCTGAGCCCTTGGGTTCACACACAGAATCCCCTTCTTCTCATTGTCTTTCAGGATATAATAGGGTTTAGGGTTTAGGGTTTAGGTTTTAGGGCTTTGGGTTTAGGGTTTAGGATTTAGGGGTTTAGGGGTTTAAGGGTTCAAGGCATCGTCTTAAGGAAGCGTCTGTCGGGGTTCAGGCTTCTCAGTGAAACTGTTCTGTATGGAGCCGGGCACATAATTCGCCTGCACCATAAACTCGCAGCAACCTCAAAAACCCTGCACCCCCCCCCCCCCCCCCCCCCCCTCTCTCAACCCGAAACCCTAAACCCTAAACCCTCAACCCTAAACCCTCTCAACCCGAAACCCGAAACCCTAAACCCTAAACCCTAAACCCTAAACCCTAAACCCTAAGCCGAAGCATGTTGAGGGCACTTGGGGGATGATTTTAGCGAGAGTGTCCGGTGGCTATAGGCGGCCTCATGGCCCTGAGCATGGGTCCGACTATAAGCCTGATTTTTTGGGGGGCTTAGGGTTTAGGGTTTAGGGGTTAGGGGTTTAGGGTTTAGGGTTTAGGTGTTAGGGGTTTAGGGTTTAGGGTTTAGGGTTTAGGGTTTCGGGCTATTTGCCATCATCAAGGGTCCGGCCAAAGCTCTAGACCTATCTCAAGGGTCTTCGGCCACTCGTACGCCACTTCAGCGCCTAAGGTCGAAGACAATATGGATATCCTCAATTTCTATCAGCATACCTGGACAGGTGCCTGTCAGCTTTACCTCAAACGAAGTCTGCTGATTTGTGGTGGTGATTTCAACACACATGTCGCACTCTTGCAAGGCACGTTGGCAATGGGCTTCCTGATAAACCACATGCTGCAACAGATTGGGCAGATCGGCAAGCAATTTTACAGGCACATGAACTGCTGCCAGTGAACACCTACACAAAGGCGATTCACACCTTTTCGTTTGGCAGCAAGACCGTTGTGTAACTTTCCTGTCAATGGCCATCTTAGTGCGGATGCCTCAAAACATTTCCCGATTTCGGTAGTTGCCCTGCTGCAACCTTCAACCCTACGAAGCTCAGCCCCAAATCCCAAAATCCTGACCCCTAGCCCTAACCCCAAATCCCAAATCTCAGCTTAAAGCCGCAAAGCCCCCGAAACCTCAACCCTAAACCCTAAACCCTGAATCCCTAAACCCCCAAAACCCCTAACCCCCAAACCCCACACCCCTAAACCCGAAACCCCAAACCCTAAACCCCTAAACCCCTAAGCCCTAAACCCCAAACCCTAAATCCCCAAGCCCTAAACCCCAAACCCTAAACCCTAAACCCCAAACCCTAAACCCTAAACCCTAAACCCTAAACCCCAAACCCTAAACCCTAAACCCTAAACCCCTAAATCCCCTTCCAGGATGGTTCACCGGCCTAACCGAGCGCCAAGCGAGCCTTGGCCAGAGTCGTTTTATGGCGGATGTTGTTGCCGGTTTATTTAGGGTTTAGGGTTTAGGGTTTAGGGTTTAGGGTTTAGGGTTTAGGGTTGAGGGTTGAGGGTTTAGGGTATTTTGCTGTACCCTAAGGCTCTTGGGCCCTCAAAACCCTAGGAATTGAGACCCCAGAACCCTCCTTAGGAGGCACCAGTCCCTCTGTAGGAGGGTCCACGGAGCCTTAGGGTAGGTCCTGAAAACCCAAGAACTGCTGAGGGTCAACCCCCCAGACCCCATAAGCCCCAACCCCTGGCCTTCATCTGGAGCCCTAATCCCTAAACCCCAAACCCTAAACCCCAAACCCTAAAGCCTAAACCCTAAACCCTAAACCCCTGAAGCCCTAAAGGTCTGTTTCTGAAGGGCCGCTGTCTCAGGATGCTCAACAACTGGCTGGAGAACGGCCGAGGCGTCATGAAGGCCGGCAGCCCAGGGGTTGTGGGTTTAGGGTTTCGGGTTTCGGGTTTAGGGTTGAGGGTTGAGGGTTTAGGGTTCAGGGTTTTGGGTCTTCTACGGCAACTGGAGAATGGATGAACAACTGAGGACCCTGGAACCCCTCAATCCCTAAGCCCGAAATAGTCGCTCTTTCTCTCTCCCTCTCTCCCTCTCTCTCCCTCTCTCTCCCTCTCTCTCCCTCTCTCTCCCTCTCTCTCCCTCTCTCTCCCTCTCTCCCTCTCTCCCTCTCTCCCTCTCTCTCTTTCTCTGCTTTAAACCTAGTGTTAGAATTCAAAGGCCTTAACTTGAGTGACTTAAGCATAAGCCGCAATTTCTTCAACCCTAAAGCCCCACCCGACGCCCCCCCCCCCCCCCCCACCCACCCACCCCACACACCCATTTCAGAAGTGTACACCTAAACCCAGTAAAGCCTGAGTCCCCAAAGTCCTAAGCATTTTTATGAGCACCACGGCTTTCCGAAACTCTAATTACACCCTTAAGCCCCTAAACCCTAAAGAAAAACCTAAACCCTAAACCCGCGGCTCTATGGGGGGGCGCTTTCGTGAGGCCTATTGGCTCACGGGCTTCACCAATGCGCAGGGCTTCCTGACGGGCATGCGACAGGAGGCCAAGCCGCCGGCCGGTGTGAGCTCCCGGCTTAAAGGGGTGTAGGGTTTGGTGGGGGTTAGGGTTATGGGGGTTTAGGGTTCAGGGTTTAGGGTTATGGGGGTTTAGGGTTCAGGGTTTAGGGTTATGGGGGTTTAGGGTTTAGGGTTAAGGGTCATGGGGGGGTTTCGGGTTTAGGGTTTACGGTTATTATGGGTTTAGGGTTTAAGCTTTAGGGTTTACGGTTTAGGTGGGGTTATGCTCCCGGTGGTACCCTTTTGCCGTTGCATTTGGTTCTAGGTTCCCTTGTAAAGTAACACACACACAAATGAGCCCTTGGCTTGTTATAATGTATGGTCACTGGGCAACCGAGCAATAGGGGTTTAGGGTTTAGGGTTTAGGGTTTAGGGTTTAGTGTTTAGGGTTTAGGGTTTAGGGTTTAGGGTTTGTAGATGTGTTTAGTTAAGGTTTGGGTTGTTTTGGGTTTAGGGTTCAGGGTCTGGGGTTTAGGGTTCGGGTCTAAGCTCGGTCTCAAAGCTTGGGGATTCTAGGGTTCGGGTTTTGGGTCTACCTGAGGCGAGGTATTGATGTCGGGTCTGAACTCAAAAGATATGTTGCCGGTGCATGGTTCAGGGTTCGGGGTTCGTGCTGACGGACAGGTGACGCGGCAGCACAAGAAGGATCAGTGGGCTCTGGATGAAGTCATCTCGCACACGGAGGTGCAGCTAGGCCGGCAACGAGCAGGAGCTTCTTTTCGAAGTTCGGACGGTCATCCCCCTAAATAGCAAACCACCCCTAAGCATGTTTCACAGTTCTTGTTTGCCAGGAGCAGACCTGGTGAAGGTCATCCCTGAACAGCTGCGTTTTTGGGGTTTAGGTTTCCATGATGGCTGACAAGGCTTGTCTAGGGATTTGCGTTTTGTTGGGTTTTGACGTTCAAACAGGTCTTAGGGTAGTTTGCCCTCAGGGCACTCGTACCCTTCACCGAGGCTTCGGCGGCTTCAGGCAATTGGACCCGAAAGAAGCGGAGGAAGTTTAAACCCTCCCTAAACCCTCCCTTGCAAAGATGAAGCCGTAATCCGCAAAGCACTCTTAAAACCTAGACTTGCCCCAAGCCCGCCATGCCAAAACTAGTCCTCAACCCGAAACCCACAAGCTTAACGACCCTAGTCCCTAGTTCTCTAAGGTTTAGGGCTTTAGGGTTTGGAGTTTAGGGTAGGGGTTTAGGGGTTAGGGTTTAGGGTTAGGGGTTTAGCCCCGAGACCGTGCTACACGCGTAGACCCCGAGAGGGTCAGCTATGCCTTTTGCTTACCTGAGGCTTCCCTGCGGCGCTCTAGGGTTTAGGGTTTAGGGTTAGGGTTTAGGGTTTAGGGTTTAGGGTTTAGGGTTTAGGGTTTAGGGTTTAGGGTTTAGGGTTTAGGGTTTAGGGTTTAGGGTTTAGGGTTTAGGGTTTAGGGTTTAGGGTTTAGGGTTTAGGGTATGTCCTGTGCTTACCTGAGGCTTCCCTACGACATGGAGAGGATCCGGGAGGTCCCTGAGGAGGGACAGCAGCCCGGCGACAGAGAAAGATGCGAACCCCGAAGCCTGAACTGCCCAAGACATCCGTAAGCGCCAGACCCTTAAACTGCAGGGTTAGGGTTTAGGGTTTAGGGTTTAGGGTTGAGGGTTTATAGGTTTATAGGTTTATAGGTTTTTAGGTTCATAGGTTTATAGGGTTTATAGGGTTTATAGGGTTTATAGGGTTTATAGGGTTGAGGGTCAATCTGAAACCGCATTAGGGCTTCGGGTCACACAACCCGATGGCAGCTCAGCAAGCCTACTCCAGTAAAGCCTCCGCCCTTAGAACTCCCTACACCCTAACGGAAGGTTCAGGGGAAGTTATAGACTTTATATGGGTGGCTGTCAAAATCATAACCCCTTTTGGGGTACCCCTAAATATTAGGTGCCGTACTATAATAGGGATCCAAAAAGGCACCATCATTTTGACAACCACCCACATGTACGTAGCCTCGTTAGGTTAGTGAGTACAGTTGCCCGACTTCTAAGGACAAGTACCCGCGATCCTCCAAGTCCACCCCGTGTCAACCCTCGGCCCTAAACCCTAAACCCTAAACCCCAAACCCGAACCCCAAACCCCAAACCCCAAACCCCAAACCCTAAACCCTAAACCCTAAACCCTAAACCCTAAACCCTAAACCCTAAACCCTAAACCCTAAACCCTAAACCCTAAACCCTAAACCCTAAGCCCAACCCTAAAATCAGAATGCCCTGAACCGTAAACCCTACTGAGTGCAGAAGATCATTCCTAACCGTAAACATATCTCCCTGCCATCCGGTGCCTAAAGCCTTCAGCACCCACAGGCTTCGGAGTTTTAGGGCTCAGGGTTCAGGTTCAGGGTTCAGGGTTCAGGGCTTAGGCTTTAGCGTTTAGGGTTTAGGGTTTGAGTTTAGGGCTTAGGGCAGGATCTAAGGTTTGCAGTTTGGGGCTCACGGGGCCTAAAGGGTTCTAGGGTCTCTGGGTTTTCGTGCTTAGGTCGTCGGGTGTACGGCTTCGGGCTTGAGGGTTTAAGGCATCGGGTTTCGGGTTTAGGGGCTCAGGGCTTAGGGCATCAGGTTGAGAGTCTAGGGCTTAGGGTTGTGCTCCCCTACCCAGCCGTCCCTCAGTTCCGGGTCTCGGGGCCTCCCACGTTGAGCGAGCCAGCCAACTTCTCCGCCTGAACGCCCTCAACCCTAAACACCCTAAATGCCCTAAACGCCGTAAACCCTAAACTCTAAACCCTAAAGCCCAAACCCCAAACCCCAAACCCTAAACCCCGAAAGCCCTAAACCCTGAAGCCCTCAACCGACCCTAAACCCTAAACTCCCAAAAAATTAAAGCCTAAACCTCAAAACCTCAAAACCCCGAAAGCCACTAAACCCTGAAGCCCTCAATCCGAAGCTGTCAGGAACATCTGGGGTCTCTTCATCGAGGGAGGCCGATGGAGCCGACAGGACAACCCTACTGGGTTTAGGGTTTAGGGTTTAGGGTTTAGGGTTTAGGGTTTAGGGTTTAGGGTTTAGGGTTTAGGGTTTAGGGTTTAGGGTTTAGGGTTTAGGGTTTAGGGTCAAAACCTTCAAACCCTAAAGCCTTAAAGCCTAAACCACTCAGTTTCTTAAACCCTTCAACCCCTAAACCCCTCAAACCCCGAAACCCTTAAGCCCTAAGTCCTACATGCAGCAACTTGATCGAAGCCTAAACCTTGTTAGGGTCTAGGGCTTTGGGGGGCATATGGGGTTTAGGGTTTAGGGTTTAGGGTTTACGGTTTCGGGCTACAAACCCTACAACCCTCTAGTCCACAGGACAACAGGATCGAGGAGTCTGAGCCCAAGAAGCTGTTCACCTCGATGCCGGCGATCTTCGTCACGGCCACCACCGCGCGAGATCTCAAGGCCCAGTTTGCCCCTTCTTGGGGTCCTCAAGCCCCCGGTGGGGGGGCAGTCTGCCTAGATGAATGTAAATATATACAAATCAATAAGGAAATTAAACTCCCTCGCTCTCTCTCTCTCTCTCTCTATATATATAATATGGCGCAGTGCGACACGGTGAGCCCATGAGATTGTCAGAACATGGAAGCCTAAACCCTCAGATCCTTAAAAACCCCCCATGTTGCGCCCGGGCCTTAGCACTCCACATCCTACAGAGCCCCAACATCTCCATTTTTTTCAGCTTCAAATTCTAGACAGGGCAATAGGTTTCTGGAGAAGGGTTTTTTTCGTTAAAGGCCCTGAACAGAGGAACTAAATATTGGATCAAGAGCAAAGGTTTAGGTTTTCAGAGCTCAGATACGGGTCAAGGGTTTAAGGCTCAGGGCTTCGACGCACGAAAGCTCTCAATGCTGGGGAGGCGATGGGCTTGAATTACGGCCCCCACGGCCCCTACAACACTGCCGTCTACAAGTACCCGAAGCGCAACACGGGCAGAACTCGGCATTTGAGTCTCGTTTAAGGGTTCAGGGTGTTGCTGGAACCTTCAAAACCCAGTGGCTTGAGAACCCGACACCTTCCTGTGGAGAACCCGCAGCCTGCTTTGGAGGTACCCCGACACTATTAGCATTCCAAATGATATGAATCCCCACCTAAAAGACTCTCATTACTAGGGTTGTTCAGGCTTTAGGTTTTTAAGGGTTAGGGTTTAGGGTTTAGGGTTTAGGGTTTAGGGTTTAGGGTTTAGGGTTTAGGGTTTAGGGTTTAGGGTTTAGGGTTTAGGGTTTAGGGTTTAGGGTTTAGGGTTTAGGGTTTAGGGTTTAGGGTTTAGGTAGTTTCATGGGCCATTCTTTTGGTCCCTAACCTCCTTTAAAGGGCTCCGAAGTATGGGCCCTGATTTTTTTGGTTTGGTAAGAAACCGGGGTATACAAGGGGTGCCCTTTCAAGGGCCCATACTAAGGGACCCTAAACCCTAAACCCTAAACCCTAAATCCTAAACCTTAAGAGGTTTAGAAGGCTGAACAGGCTCTCCTGGTGGAGCTCTGTGTTTGGGCCTCCAAGCTCTGAGCCCCCCCAACAACTCTAGGTAGGCCCTTGGGACTCCCCCACCCTAGGATTCAGGGTTTAGGGTTTAGGGTTTTAGGGTTTTAGGGTTTTAGGGTTTTTAGGGTTTTAGGGTTTTAGGGTTTTTAGGTTTTTAGGTTTTTAGGGTTTTAGGGTTTTAGGGTTTTAGGGTTTTAGGGTTTTAGGGTTTTAGGGTTTTAGGGTTTTAGGGTTTTAGGGTTTTAGGGTTTTAGGGTTTTAGGGTTTTAGGGTTTTGGGGTTTTGGGGTTTTGGGGTTTTGGGTTTAGGGTCCGGTTGCCTCGCTTTAGGGTTCAGGGTTTGTAGAGTTGAGTTGCCTGAGGCCTTGTTGTGCGAAGGTAGGGATCCTAGCAGCCCCGTAGCTCCCCGCGGCGAGTCCTTGACATTTGGGGGGTTTGCGAAAAAGAAGCTGCCCCTAACAAAAAAGGACCCCAAGAAGGTACCTCCTATCTTCGGAAACCCCTAAACCCTAAACCCCTAAACCCCTAAATCCCTAGACCCTAAACCCTAAACCCTGAACCTAAGGACCCCCATTAAGGTACCCCTATTTGCGGAAACCCCTCCATTTTCAAGGCAACGACCGTTACCTGATCTTCCGCATGATGCTCCGAACGGAGCTGCACCCTTATCACTGGCAGCTCGACCTGACAACAGCACCTACTGGCTCCTAGCAGGGAATGAGAGAAGTAGGTACCGTATATTTCCTATATATATACCTATATATATATATAGATATATATAGATATATATAGATATATATCTATATCTACATCTACATACCCTTGAAGTTCTATTGGGTACCTCACTCCCTCATTCCCTGCTCGGAATCAGTAGGAAAAGTTGCATGGGACCTTCAGGATTCGTAGGGTCGGGTCTGAAAGCTTTGGAGGCAGGAATTCTGAGCTGCTCGCCCTCATGGCTCGATTAGAACCTCTGCGTCCTTCAAACCTTAGTTGGGTTTGGGGGTTGGGGGTTTAGGGTTTAGGGTTTAGGGTTTGGGGTTTGGGGTTTAGGGTTTAGGACTAAGTCTTAAACAACCCTAATGCCTGAGTTTAGTCCGACAACAGCGAGCCCCAGGAAGCTGCGTGGCGTCTGCCTCGTGGCACAGACGGAGTGAGAGACTACAAGCACCTTGGCAAGATGGGTATAGGGTTTAGGGCTTAGGGTTTAGGGTTTAGGGTTTAGGGCTCGGCTTAGGGCTTAGGGTTTAGGGTTCAGGGTTTGGGGTTTGGGGATTTAGGTTAAACCCTAAGCCCTCCACCCGAACCCCATAAGCCCTCAGTCCGAACTTGAAGCCCTAAACCCTGCACCCGAAACCCTGAATGAAACCCGATAAATCCTATCAGCCGAAACCAGGAGCCCTCAACACCCTGAACCTTTAAGGTTTAGGGTTTAGGATATCGGGTTTGAGTAAGGGGGTTGAGGGTTTAGGGCTTGCGTAGCATCTTGGTTCATGCCAAGTGGGGGTTGGGGTTCGGGCAATCTAGGAGGATTTTGGGATGAGAGAGGTTCCAGTGTTCAAGGTTTAGGGTTTAGGGTTTATTGTTTGGGGTTTGTGGCATTCAGGGCCTAGAGTTATAGGGTGCTGGTTTCCAGACAGTACGTCGGCTCCAGCGATGTAGGACAAACCTGCATCCTATGAATAATAAGCCCTACAAGCTCAGTAGGGGAGTTTCGATTTAGGGCTCAGGGTTTAGGGCAAAACCCTAAACCTTAACCCCTAGACCCTTTTAAACCCTAAACCCCAAACCCAATAAACCCTGAACCCTATAAAAAAACCCTAACCCCTAAACCCTAAACCCTAAAGCCTAAACCCTAAACCCTAAACTACTATATAACACCTGCCTCTCCCAAGGTTACTGCACCGTGCACGTGGCGGCCGTCGAGAGCGGACAAAGAACAAAAACCGAGGATAAGATCAACAACCCGCAATACTAAGAACCAGATACCCGATATTCAGATTCTACAAGTTGCAGATTCTACAGAAGCCCTAAACCCTAAACCCTAAACCCTAAACCCAAAACCCGAAACCCTAAGCCCTAAACAGTTTAGGTTTAGAAGTTAGAGTTTAGTGCTGAGGCTCTTGCCTCCTACCAGTCGCGCAGACGCGTCAGTGTTCTTTCCGAGTCTCTTGTTGCATCTGACGCCGGTTGCCCGTATCCCTCGCACTGAACCACTCCTAACTAAGCACAACAAAACGAAGCCGCTAGCTGCTCTGCGGCCACTGTACGTGAGCTCAAAAGAGGTGAAAAGCCTCGTTGCCCATTTCTGGTGAACCGAAGGCTTTCGCTTAGATGCAGATACTTAGTAGCAGGATGAGTATGCGTTAAATTTTTTTGGTGAGACTATAATCCCCCATAGAACTGAAAGTGTACACTTTTTTGGGGGGGCTTATGAACTCAGCAACTAAGTATATAAATCACATCTGTCGCTTTGGACACCTCTTCACCATGAAGCCCGAACCCAAATTCCTAAAGAGCCCTAAGCCTCAACTAGGATGCCCAGTAGTGCCCTTATTCCCCTTTTTGGGGGGGTTTAGGTTCCCTTATAAACCCCTTTAAGCAAAAAAGGGCACCCTTTTAAGCCTAGGTTACTGGGCAGCCTAGTTAATTATTGAGCCCTTAAACCCTTGTACGCTTCAAACCCATCAAACCTACCCACCAAAGAACTCCCGATTCTCCCAATCCCTTAACACTAAATCCAAAACAAACCGGCCCTAGACCCGACAAGCCCTATACCCGAACACCCCAAAGTAAACGCTATAAAGACTCCAAACCCTCTAACCGCAAAAAACCCTCTAAACCCTCCAAACCCTTTAAACCCTCTAATCCTCTAAACCCCCTAAACCCCATAAACCCCAAACCCTAAGGCCTACACCCTAAACCCTAAACCCTAAACCCCTAAAATCCGCAACTCAAAGCTGATTTGCGGGAGCTTTCGGCTTGCTTTGAGGGAAGCGCTATGCTCAGAAGACCTGCAGAGCAAATGGCGCTGCTGCACCAGTCGTTCCCTTCCGCCTTGGCTAGCTCAGGGTTTAGAGTTTTAGAGTTTTCAGGTTTAGGGTTTAGGGTGTAGGGTTTAGGGTTTAAGGTGTAGGGTTTAGGGTTTAGGGTTTTCACGTTTAGGATATAGACTTTAGGGTTTAGACGGCGAAGAATTGGGTTTTAGGTTTCATGGTAGACGTGACGTCCACTCAACATGTGTACCTGAACCTAGTAACTAGTAGGTGCTGACTGGATTGAGGAAGACAGGATCCAGGAAAGCTCGACGTGGGATGGTTCCCGTATCAGAAGGCTTTAGAAAGCTTATAGAATCTTGTGATTACATGGGCACTTTTCCTGCTTCTAAGAGAGGCTGTGGACCAAACAGTACTGGCTGAGGCTGTTGACCAAACAGTACTGGCCGTTGAAAAAAATATTAGGTAAGGCCGACACCCGCCAAACCTTGCTTAGGGTTTAGGGTTTAGGGTTTAGGGTTTAGGGTTTAGCGTGTAGGGTTTAGGGTTTGGGGTTAGGGTTTAGGGTTTAGGGTTTAGGGTTTAGGGTTTAGGGTTTCGGGCACACATGGCCTCTCGGCACATCGAAGGACAAACATGGCTTTTCGATGGTGGGCTTATGGTTGATAAGGTTAGGCAACCTGAAAATACAGCTGTTGGGGATTACAGGGTTTCTGGGATAAGGTTGGGTAGCCTGAAAAATGCAGCTGTTGGGGGTCTACAGGGGTTTCTGGGACAAGCCCCCTAAACCCCTTAAACCTCAACTACAAGTCCCGTTGGTGAAGTGGCGCTGTACAGTAGCCGGCTGTAGGGGTCTTTTCGCGCAAGGCGCGCCAGTTGAGCAGAGATACCCGGCCAGGCTGCCCCCTACAAAGCTTAAACCGAAGAAACCCTACACATATGGGGGTACCTTATTGGGGGTCCTTATTACAAGGGAATCCTGCCATTTGGGTGTCGGTTTTCGGGGTCACCTATTTTCGTAAACCCACATATAGACAACTCTTTGATGATGGTCTTCAATGAAGCTGTCCCTTCAAACTTCAGCCTGCTACTATAGGCCGGGGGTGGGGCCCATATTCCATTTTGATATTGGGCCGGGGCTCCCATAAAATTCGATCCTGCCATTGAACATGGTACAGAGGAGTACACACACACACAGACACAGAGAAAACCCCCGAAGATTGTGGTCGCAATCTCTGCACTCTGCATCTCGGGAGAGCTATTGCAGAAGGCACCACACAACAGGAACAGAGGACCAGAATCACGGAATTTGGAGTGCTCAGAGGGTTTTAGAGGGTTTTGAGGTCTTTGCTAGTCTGCTTCAAGCTTCGACTGGTATGGTGGTTCTTTGCTACTTGTGCTTAGCGTTCACAGTAGGCATAACATGAATTAATCCCATAGATGCATATCATTACCTCAGGCCCTCTACTCGCGTGTTGGAAGCTTGGCCCGAAACAACCCAACAGCAACGCCCGGCCCCGCGTTTAGGGTTTAGGGTTTAGGGTTTAGGGTTTAGGGTTTAGGGTTTAGGGTTTAGGGTTTAGGGTTTAGGGTTTAGGGTTTAGGGCTAGAATGATGATCTTCAGCATGGTCGCCTGCTGATGGCTCTTCATGCAGCTCGCTCCCCTCGGGAACTGACTCCTTATTGCATGCCCCGCTCTTGCGAAAAAGAGAGAAAGCCCGCCTGCAGGGTTTAGGGTTTAGGGTTTAGGGTTTAGGGTTTAGGGTTTAGGGTTTAGGGTTTAGGGTTTAGGGTTCAGGGTTTACAGTGACAGCCTAAAAGTTGGAAGGTGTGAATTGGAACGGTTGACCGGAAATCCAATCTTCCACCTTTCGTTTTCCAGGACCCCCAAATCTTCCAACTTTGCGTTGGCTCCCCCACACTGCGAGTCGGTGGTCGCTTTTGTTGGCGGCTCCACAGTCCACTTTCCAACTTTAGCTTTTCAGGGGGAGAACCAACAATGAATTCTTAAATGCTTGGTCAAAGCACCAAGGCCACATAAGGACACGATTTCAGAAACAAGCAAGAAAGGCATGAAACTTGAGTTTGCAAAACACACTCGCCTAGGACACATTGTCCATAAACATGAAGTTGGAAGAAACAGAAAGTTGGAAGAGTCAAGTTGGAAGAATTGAAAGTTGGAAGCTGCTCAAGCCAATGTTCAAAAGAGCGGAAAATTTGGTTGGACACCTTCCAACTTTTCGGCTGCCACCATAGGGTTTAGGGTTTAGGGTTCAGGGTTTATATAGGGTTTAGGGTTGAGGGTTGAAGGTTGAAGGGTTTAGGGTTTCGGGTTTCAAGGGATCGGCCATCGAAATGCCTGAGGCCCGAGGCGCACTCTGGAAGCTTTGAGAGGGTTTAGGGTTTAGGGTTTAGGGTTTAGGGTTTAGGGTTTAGGGCATCTTGCCACCCTGCGTGGGTCCTTGTGCTTTCTGGAACCTTCGAAGCCCACTTAGAGGATCGGGGCACTTAGTAAGTAGGGTCATAAGTTGCTTATTTGGAGCTGTAAGCAGCTGTATAAGCAGCTGTAAGTTTACTTACCTTACTTCTAACCCCACTTACTAAGTCCCCTGATCCTTTGAGCAGGGATGTGAGAACACAGGATCTCCCTTTTTGGAGGGGTCGTACTTCGAGTCTTCATGCGTTTGCGGTTTTTGTGCTTCCAGCTCCTTCGCGAGCCTAAGCCCTCAACCCCAAGCCCTAAACCATCAGCCCCAACCCCTCTATAAGACGAAAAAGCATCTATGTCACCTTGTGAGACGAATTGCCGTAAGAAGTGAGGCTACAGCCGGAGCAATGTCTCAAGCAATGGCTAGTATGGCAATGGCTTCAGAGAAACCTCGTATCAGTCAAGTCCCTCAGCCGCTATCTGTCAACCCTAAGCCTCCATCCGCTCCAACAGGATAAACCCTAGACCTTGAACTCCCAAATCGCCAAACCCCAAACCCTACATAAACCCGAATTATCAACCCTCAGCCCTTAATTCCCTTAACCCCCAAACCCTATACCCAGAGTTACCTTGCACCTGAAGAAAGGGTAAATCTACCAAAACCTACGGCAAACTCTGCTTTTGTTAACGTTATACATAGAGGCTACTCCAGCAAAGCCCTCAACCCAAACAAGCCTTAAACCCCTAAACCCCAAGCCCTCCAGACCCTAAACCCCAAACCCTCTAAACCCTAAACCCCAAACCCTCTAAACCCTAAACCCGAAACCCTAAACCCCAAACCCTAAACCCTAAACACTAAACCCTAAACCCTAAACCCTAAACCCCAAACCCTAAACCCTAAACCCTAAACCCTAAACCCTAAACCCTAAACCCTAAGCCGGAGGCGCCGTTGCCGGCCCTTCGCAGGGCCTCCGCTGCCCTGCGCCGGGTGGGGCTCGAGGCCGTGGCTGCGGCTTCTTGGGGGCTTTTGTTGCTTCTGAGGTAGCCCTAAACCCTAAACCCTAAACCCTAAACCCTAAACCCTAAACCCTAAACCCTAAACCCTAAACCCTAAACCCTAAACCCTAAAAGCCCTGTAAACCCTATAAACCCTGTAAACCCTATAAACCCTATGACCCGAACCCCTAAACCCTAAACTCTCGTAGTCTTGTAGGGGGTGTTGAGGTTTCGGGTTCTAGGGTTTTGTGTGTGCAGGATGGAACTTAGGGCTCCAGGGCTTAGGCCTCCGGGTTTTTCGGGCTTTTAGGGCTTTTGTTTGGATACCTCTAAAGACAAGTCCGTGATTGCGCTTTGAGGGTTCCGGCAAGCTTCTTCGGAAAGGGCCTGAGGGTGCTGGGGCTGCAGGCTTTGCACTTCAGAGTGTCTAGAACTTGATGTGTAAGAACGCTGCATGACCCAACGATACACAGTTTTTGGAGAAGAAGGCCCTGTGTATCGGCCTGCGGCAAGGGCGCTGGTTTCCGCAGCTAAAGCTCAGGGACCAAACGACATGACACCTGCAACCCTGAGCCCTACGATGCCAAGCCGCAGCCACCAACCCCAAACCCTACAAGACCCTCCACATGTCTAGGATATGACCCCCTAAATATCTAAACTCTAAACCCGAAACCCGAAACCCGAAGCCCTGACCATAAACCCTTAACTCTAAACATAAACCAAGTCCATCCACACCGACTCGGCACCCTGCGACAGGGCTCCGTCTGGAATAAGTTCGCCACCCGCCTAGCAGAACTGCCCAGCAGCGAGCTGGATGAGGTTCGCCATGGGTTTAGGGTTTAGGGTTTAGGGTTTAGGGTTTAGGGCGCAAACCCTAAACCCAAAATCTTCTCGTGAGTGCAGGGGACAGCAGCCACGGGATGAGCATGCGTGCGTCATCTGCTGGGCTTTGGAGTACTGTACTTTAATACTTTTTTGCGTTCTGGGTTCCTATTATAGCTACTTATACCGAAAAAGTATATACTTGTTTTTCCAGGGTCTACTCCAAAGGTAGGTCTGTGTGTGCTTGTTAAGGTAGTTGCGGGCTGTAATGGTTGGTTCTCTGTGCCCGTGCTCTCGCTTGTTGTTCACAGCACTATGCAGCAGTTCCTATTATAGGGTCTAAAGGGGGTTAGTGATCCTAGGCCCTAAATCCTATACCCTAAACACTAAACCCTAATCCCTAAACCCTAAACCCTAAACCCTATTGTAGGCTCTTAAGGGTTTATAGGGATCCCATGAATCCTCAAGAATCGGCGCAGGACGACAGCCACTCACTGGGTTGGTTGGCAGTCCGGCCGGCGAGTTTCCAGACAGCCGGGAGCTTCCACCTTTTGGGAGGGTTTAGGGTTTAGGGTTTAGGGTTTAGGGTTTAGGGTTTAGGGTTTAGGGTTTAGGGTTTAGGGTTTAGGGTTTAGGGTTTAGGGTTGAGACTGGAGCTCTGGTTTTTGGGTTTGTGGGGCTTAACCCTATAAACCCTAAACCCCTGATGAAACTGGAGCTCTGTTGAGGGTTTATAGGGTTTAAGCCTAAACCCTAAACTTCTCAAAGCTAAGCCGAGGGATAAGAGCCAAGAGCCAGGCTTGGGGTGCATTTAACTCGCGCTGTTCGCACTCAGGGCGTGCCTGCATCCCCCAAATTCCTGAACCCCTAAACCCTAAACCCTAAACCTGAAACCCTAAACCCTAAACCCTAAACCCTGCTTGCTTGCGTGAGACTGAGACGGGCGGGGCTCATGGTCAGGGTAATATAGGGGTCGTAAAATTGCCAATCATATTCCCTTATGACCCCTTTACAATAATACTTTACTAACCCCAAAACCCGTTTCTAAATAATTATTCAGTCTCGTACATTATAGGGTTTTGGGTTTGGGTTTGGGGTTTTGGGTTTTGGGATACTTGCACACCATTGACATTGACCAGGCCCCAAGCTGGAATTGCAGTAAGAGCGTACATGGCCGCAAGGTCAAGGGGTTCGAATTCCTTGGTAGGCCAGCGGTGCCCTTTTCCCTTTTTTTGGGGTTCAAGGTTCCCTTCTAAAGCAACCAACCGCAAAAGGGTACCCTTATATTGTAATTCGGTCACTGGGCTATATACCAAGTAAACCCCAGGCCCTAAACCCTAAATCCTGCACCCCGCTAAGCCACAAGCCCTAAACCCTATTCCCGACACCGCAGCCCTCTGCTGATAACCTGAATCCCTAAAACTTGTGGGGCATCTTCCGGATTCAGGGTTTAGGGTTTAGGGTTTAGGGTTTAGGGTTTAGGGTTTAGGGTTTAGGCTTGAGGGTTCAGGGTTTAGGATTTGGGTTTAGGGCTTAGGAGTCCTACTCCCTGAACAATTCCAGACTCGAGGCCTCCCCATCTTGCAGCTCAACTCTGGGTTTAGGGTGTAGGGGTTCAGGGTTCAGGGTTTAGGGTTTAGGATTTAGGGTTTAGGGTTTAGGGTTTAGGGTTTAGGGTTTAGGGTTTAGGGTTTAGGGTTTAGGGTTTTGCCCCCCTCCCCCCGTGGCAGGACGACTTGCACGCCGTCCAGGGACGACTGGCCCCGGCGGCTGTCACAGCAGCCGCCTCAGGGATTTGGAAGCCTAATTTCGGGCTTAGGGTTGAGGATTTTGGGCATAGGGTTTAGGGTCTAGGGTTTGGGGGTGTTTGTTAGAGGCGCCATCTTGCTCTCTGACTCTGGCTCCCTTGCAACTCTGCTTAAACCACCCGAAAACCTTCTAGTCTAATGTTTTGTTGACAGTCGCCAGCGTGAAAGCGATCATCGCTAAAGGTTTCGTTCCGGGGTCGCTGCAATGCCCGAGTTAAACCTTAAACCAGTTGTGGTCACGTCCTTAACCCCTGAACCCAAGACCTTGCCCAATCGAGCGCGTAGAAACAGCTTCAAGCGTACAACCTAAAGGGTACAGTTTAAATCGCAAGCCCTAAGCCCAAAAGACCCAGAAACCCAAACCACTAAACCCCTATCGTAAGCCCTTGTCCCCCTAGACCCGAAACCCCTGTCCCCCTAAACCCTTATAAAACCCTTAAACCCCTGTCCCCCGAAACCCTTATAAAACCCTTAAACCCCTAAACCCCTAAACCCCTACACCCCTAAACCCCTATCCTCCTAAACCCTTAGACCCAAAACACTGAACCTGTGCCATCCCCCCGCAGTTTCAAGCGCAAACCCTCGCAGAGCCCGCACTTCCAAGCTGCGGCTTGCAACGCCTGGCTAGGTTTAGGGATTAAGGGATGAAGGGATTAGGGTTAGGGTTTAGGGTCGAGGTTTGAGGGTTGAGGGTTTAGGGGTGAGGGTTGAGGGTTTAGGGCTTAGGGTTTAAGGTTTAGGGTTCAGGGTTTAGGGCGATTTTCCCGTACGGTGTGTATATAAGGGGATCGTCCTTTAGGAATGTTGCTTGACGGAAGGCTTAAAAGGCCAGCTAAGAAGCCATGGCGATTGAAGCTCGGGATTTGGGCTCTGCATCCGGCGTCTGGCAGATGTGCATCGGCAAGGAGTGTAACTTCACCTTGGTGGTGAAGGAATCTAGGACGCCCTGTAGTAGCCCTTTAACTCCCTTTTTGTGGGTTCGGAACCCATTAGCATTGTAAACCTCATTTCATTGAGTAGGAAAGGGTGCTATTTTCCTCTCGGCCTTCTACGAAACCTAGCTTTTAAGTCCCTAAGCCGCCTAAACCTTTACAAACCCTAAACCCTAAACCTTAAACCCTAAACCCTAAACTTTAAACCCTAAACCCTAAACCCTAAACTTTAAACCCTAAACCCTAAACCCTAAACCCTAAACTCTCTCGTGCGAAACCGAGGAGTGTTACACAGACCCGGAGGCCGCCAGAAGCCTCGAGGGCTCAGATGGCGCTGTCGAGGGCAGCGCCGAGCTTTCTGAGGTGGCCGCTTCCCGAAATGCCCTAAACCCTAGCCCTAAACCCTAAACCCGAAACCCTAAACCCTAAACCCTAAACCGAAACCCTAAACTCTAAACTCTGAACCCTAACCCTAAACCCTAAACCCGTTCTTTGGCTTTACGGTTAGGGTTAAAGTAGAGAGCTTAGGACCCGAAGCCTTTAGAGGTCCCTTTGTGGCGTCTAGGGCTTTGTAGGGTTTTGGGTTCAGGGACCCTAAACCCTAAACCCTAAACCCTAAACCCTAAACCCGGAACCGCCTCCCTGAGCCCTACAAGAAGTACACCTCAACAGGGGCCTGAATTTCGGGAAGCCTCAACCCCTATACCGACCCTAAACCTTAACCCCTATACCCTACACCCTTCAAGAAATACCCTAAACCCTAAACCCTAAACCCTAAACCCTAAACCCTAAACCCTAAACCCTAAACCCTAAACCCTACACATCTATGGAGAGAACCCTTAAGGTGAAGCGCGTGAAGCGCCGGGAGTTTAAGGTCTGGTCTCCTCTGCTCACAGGCTGGTCCCCTGTCTTTGCGACGTGACTTCCTAGGGTTTAGGGTTTAGGGTTTAGGGTTTAGGGTTTAGGGTTTAGGGGGATTTGGGTATTTAATCTTAGGGTTTTGGGGTTTTCGGGGGTTTGAGTTTGGGGTTTTGGGGGATTTGTTTTGAACTTTCGGGTTTGGGGAGTTTAGAGGTTCAGGGTTTGGAGGGTTTAGGGTTTAGGGTTTGGAGTGTTTAGGGTTTGGGGTTTGGGGGTTCAGAATTAAGGGTTCAGGGTGTATATAGGGTTCAGAATCTGGGCTACAAGGAGAGGATGCTCAGCTCGGACAACTACGTGGAGTCCAGGGAATTGCAAGTGGTCATCTCAGACTTCGCGGCAGAGGCCGTGGAGATCTTCGTGCACTTCTTGTATGCTGGGGTTGTGAAAGGTACTCCGGCCATGCTCGTGCAAGTGGCTGCTTTGGCAGACAAGTACCAAGTCAGCCAGTTGCACGCGCTCTGCCTGGAGTCCGTCATGAAGGCGCTCACGCCGGAGACGGCGTGCGAGATCTTCGCCGCCGCCGATCACTTTCACATGACATCTCTGCGAGGGGAGGCGCTGGAGAAGATCCTGATCAGGCCCGACAAGGCATTGCAGGCGCGTCCAAACCTCAGTGCGAAGCTACTGGAGGAGATCCTGGACTCGGGCCTGTTGTGCATAGAGTATACAGCCCTCGTAAGCATGTTTCGATCCTGGGACACAAAAAAAGAAGGCGGCGACTTGCTCCAGCCTGTCATCGAAGCTCACATCAAGCGCGCAACAGCACGCAAGCCCGGCGAGCACTCCAGAAATGTGCTGTACACTTTGTGGTCTCGCTATGAGAAGGCCGGGAAGAATGGCGCCTTTTTGGGCAACTGGGTGGTGGTGACCCTTGACCAAGCAGAGCTTGGTGCGGAAAATGCAAACTGGCTGATGGACGGTGCTCGTTATGGCCGGCTTAACGATCTGAGTCCGGGTTGGATCAAATGGGAGCTCCCACACTCAGCTGTGCGCGTGCTGGGCTTCTCCTTCAGCCACGACATTCACAACACGGCGTCGCTCGAGATCCTTTGCTCTGAAGATGGAGTGGCATGGCACCTTGCCAGCGCGTGCAAGAAGCAATGTATCAAGGCACGCACCTTGCTGGCTTGCAAGAAGCCCCCAGGCCCGGTGAAGTTCTTCAAGGTGCACGTTCTGGAGGGCATGATTGCTAGCTTTTTCAGGACCAACTTCTGCATCCACGGCATCTTGCAGGGGGGCTGAGGGACAAACAGCAGCTACTGGCGCTGCACTGGCAGGGAGACCGATGTGGACCTTTCCGACACAGCCGGCCGTCACGGAGAATACTGCGAGCCAACTCTGGAAGATTAGAATGATCCATGTACCTAAATAGTAAAGGGGTTCCTATGTAACAGTAGCTTTAGGGCCCACCAAGAATGTACTATATCCAAGTACATGGGTCCTTGTTGTTCCCATAAACATGCATAAGCAGCGTGTCAACACTACTTGCAGGTTCATGATACTTATTTGCCACTTAAAACTGTACTTATAACTGTACTTATAGCCATATTGGGGCACTTCTGGGGCTTATGAGTGGGTTATAAGTACAGCAGCAAACCCTAAAACCTTATAATTGGTTAACAAGTACCATGAACCTCAACACTAAGGGGTTCCAACGTGAAGAGGAAAAAGATAAAGTCTATGTTACCGCTCCGCCCCTGCTGTTATTGAAATTAGGTTTTGGGGTTAGGGTTTACGGTTTAGGGTTCCCTTGTGATAGAATACACCGGGCTTTACTCCGGTATACGGTATGGCTCACGACTTGTCTTGGTGGTGTGGTCCAGCTTCCGACTCAAAGGTAACTCAAATCTCGAGCCTTCAGCCTTAAACCCTAAACTTTTCCCCTGACCTTATATACATCCTCAACCTCCAACCCTAAACCCTGAGTTGCTGAGAGTTACCTCTTGGTGCTGGCTGCATCTCAAGAGCCAGCAGACAAGGCACACTCCGAGCCGGAGCTTGTAGCGCCCCCTAGCTGGAAGCCATGGCAGTGATTGAGGAGCAGGATCTCATCTCCGCGTCCGGGCGCGTGGCAGATGTGCATCGGCAAGGAGGGCAACTTCACCCTGGTGGTGGAGGAACCCTCGCCAGACGCGCAGGCCAACACCGAGGGCTCTGCGAGCGCTGAGGAGGGCTCAGAGGCCGCGGAAGAGGACTCGGCCGCCTCGGAAGAGGCAGCGTCATCTGGTGCTCAGAATGTTGAGGTCATTGAAGGGAAGCGCACCGAGTTCAAGGTGTGGGCTTCTCTGCTCTCGAGCTGGTCCCCTGTCTTTGAGCGGATGCTCAGCTCCGACAACTACGTGGAGTCCAAGGAATCGCAAGTGGTCATCTCAGACTTCGCGGCAGAGGCCGTGGAGATCTTCGTGCACTTCTTGTACACTGGCGTAGTGAAAGGCACTCCTGGAGTACTCGTGCAAGTGGCCGCATTGGCAGACCAGGTGAACAAACTGCACACGCTGTGCCTGAAGTCCGTCATGACGGCGCTCACGCCGGAGACGGCATGCGAGATCTTCGCCGCAGCAGATCACTTTCATGTGACAGATCTGCGAGAGGAGGCACTGGAAAAGATCCTGATCAGTCCCGACAAGGCACTGCAAGCGCGCCCAAACCTCAGCGCAAAGCTCTTGGAGGAGATCCTGGACTCGGGCCTGTTGTGCCTAGACGATACAGCCCTGGCAAAAATGCTGCGAGCCTGGGGAGAGAATAAGGAAGGCGGCGATTTGCTCCAGCCGGTCATCGAGGCGCACATCAAGCGCGCAACAGCGCGCAAGTCCGGTGAGCACTCCAAACATGTGCTGAGCACCTTGTGGTCTCGCTATGAGAAAGCTGGGAAGAAGGGCGCCTTCCTGGGCTACTGGGTGGTCGTGACTCTTGGCCAGGCAGAGCTTGGTACGGAAGACGCAAAATCGCTTGTGGACCGCGCTCGTCTTGGCCGGGTGAACGGTCTGGGCCCCGGTTGGATGAAATGGGAGCTCCCACACTCAGCTGTGCGCGTGATGGGCTTCTCCTTCAGCTACATTGACATTCCCAACACGGTGTCGCTTGAGATCCTCTGCTCTGAAGACGGAGTGGCATGGCATCTTGCCACCACCTGCAAGAAGCAAGGCATCAAAGCCTTCACCTTGCTGGCTTGCAAGAAGCCCCCCGGACTTGTCAAGTTCTTCAAGGTGAAAGTTTTGGAGGGTGAGATTGCGTCTACTACCGACTTGAACATCCACGGCATTTTGCAGTCGGACTGAGGTGCTCTCCTTGCGCAACGTAGGCGGATGGTGCGACAAGCTTTATTTAGGTACACAGCCGGGCGTCTCACGAGTAGCACTGATGCTCTAGGTTGTAAAAACCACACAATTCTATATATATATATATATATATATTCTATGTAGAGAGAGAGAGAGAGATCTGTGAGCAGCAAGAGCCTGTGACATCATGGCAATGATCAAAGTGGCTGACAAATCTATCCAGCCGGAGGAGTTGCCCTAAACCCTAAATCCTAAAGCAGCTTCCCCAGGGTTTCATGCTACATCTCCAACATCTTCATGGCAGTGGATTGAGGGCTTGGTTCTTGCATCAAGCCATGTCCACACGGTTGCAACCCTACACCTTCGTAGAGGCAGACATACGCTTGCATGCAGATCCTGAAATCAACCTGTGTAGTTGGTATAATATAGCTATGTAGAAGTAGACGCTCAGTATAGCCGACGAACAGGTTTTCACAGTGTACTTAGGGGGCCGTGTCGCAAGTGTGCAGGCTGATGTCTCACTTCATGGGCCGTCGAAGCCCTCTCGACCCCAACCCTGCGACCCTAAGCTCTCTCGGGGCCAGTCTGAGCCCCTTGCACCCTCTCTGATCCCTAAGAGTCCATGTACCTATGTAGTATATGCTTGGGCCCCAAAGCTACTATATGGGAACCCGTTTCAGTCCCAAGTATATACTGTATAGGTACATGGACCCTTAATAACCCAAAAAACCTACCTTTTTGTAGGTTCTTCTTGTAGAACCCTTATCGGATTCTTAGGTAACCTACAAAGACGTAGGTTTGGGGTTCTTAAGTTAGGTAAACGCTGAACCCTGAACCCTAAACCCTAAGCCCTAAACCCTAAACCCTAAACCCTCTCTTACACTTACATTCACAAGGGAATCGGACTGATTCCGAGGATGCCTGGGTCGGCCTGGCGCGGGCTGCGCTCGGGGCGACGGCCCCGAGCTTAGCATTCTAACATACGGGCCTGAATAATTTGAGTAGGGTTTAGGGTTTAGGGTTTAGGGTTTAGGGTTTAGGGTTTAGGGTTTAGGGTTTAGGGTTTAAAGTTTAGGGCTTGGGGTTTAGGGTTTCGGGTTTAAGTTTAGGGTTCAGGGTTGGGGGTTCTTAAAGTGTAGTTATACAGGAACCATAAGGGAATGCTTTGAGTAGGTATTTCGACCCCTACATCTGAGTGCGTTCTGGGAGTGAGAGGGCTTCTCGCGTTTATTAAGGGGTGAACATCAGGTTTGTGGGTTTTGTAGGCTTTGGGTTTAGGGTTCTTGATTGGCGCTGTTCAGAGTCAACGGCACATTAAAAGCCCTTCTCTCTAAACCTTTAAAAAAGCCCCAAGGCCTGGAAACTCGAAAGCTCTTGAACCCTAAACCCTAAGGCCTAAACCCGAAACCCGAAACCCTAAAGCCTAAACCCTAAACCCTAAACCCTAAACCGGATAACCTTTAGGACCCCTAGAAAGCCGGGGGCAAGCCCAGGGGCCGCGCGGGTCCGCCGACCTAGCCACGAAGCTCGCGGGGGTGGCCCAGGAGGTTCTATTGTAGGGTTTAGGGTTTAGGGTTTAGGTTTAGGGTTTAGGGTTTAGGGTTTAGGGTTTAGGGATAGTAGGGTGGTTGGGGTTTACGGTTTCGGGGTCCGGTCGGACTCGGCTCGTTCGATCAATGAAGAAGGGCACTGCCTACTGTGGTGACACAAATCATCTACGCATCGCAGGAGGGTTAAGGTTTAGAGTGGGTTGGGGGTTTAGGGTGGTTGGGGTGTAGGGCTTTATGGTTTCAGGGGTTCAGAGATCAGGGCTTGGATAGGTGTAGGGGTTTCAGGGTGCAGAACTTACGACTTGGGGGTTAAGGGTTGGTGGGGGTTTGGGCTTCAGGGGTTTAGGATGTACGTTCTCGGGCCAAGTAGCTCCGAAAGGATGGCCGTAATCATCAAGACCTACAGCTCTGAGGATTCTACAGCTAAGGGGTAGAGATTATCTGCTACACACTAAACCCTAAACCCTCAACCATGATCTGGTTCAGCAACTTTTGCGGGTTTCAGACGTATGGTCCGACTTCGGGTTGTCAATGGTCAGCAACTCTTTCAGGGTCGCCTCCTGTCGATCAAGCCCATGTGCAGTAGAGTTGATATCAAGGTTTGGGAGAGCGCATGAAGGGTTCCTCTCAAATACTGGTGAGCGCTATGGGGTATCCTTCTGTATACTCCAAACCCTATCAACCCTTACATTCCGCACGAGGTCAGTGCGCCTGTCCCTCCAAAGCAGAGGGATGCGCTTGACGAGGCTGGCAGGCTTTCATGCTCATCTCTTGTACTAACAGTCCTGAATAGTGATTTCGTACCCCCATTAGAATCCCCATTAAGGACTGTTAGTATAAGGGGGAACATCCCAACTCATTCAGATCATGCAATGCGATCATGGAATCCGGCTTTGGAGGTCCAAGCTCCAAACCCCAAGCCATTATAAGTATGGGGTAGATCAGATCTAAATCATCAATCCTTACAGTGACTATTTCGGACATCTACTAATCGAGATACAATCAGGTCTCGTGATGTTGATCAACCCCCATCCTAAATCCTAAACTCCAAACCCGATGCAAACACCCAACCCTACACATCCTAAACCCCTTGCCGATGTAAACCCTAAAGCCTAAAAGCTAAAGGCCTAAGCCCTAAACCCTAAACTCTAAACCCTAAACCCTAACCTCTAAACCCTAAACCCTAAACCCTAAGCCCCAAACCCTAAACCTAAGCCCTAAACCCTAATCCCTAAACTTTAAACCCTATCCTGAACCCACTAGCCGATGTAATAGGCCTTGCGAGCGACCCTCCGGCGCGGGGCGGAAAGCTGCGAGGAGCTAGAGCCTAAGAAGGCCGCCGGTGAGTGAACGTGAGGTTTAGGGTTTAGGGTTTATGGTTTAGGGTTTAGGGTTTGGGGCTTAGGGTTTAGGG